CTAAATTCAGACATTTTTACAAACGATGATAACCATTTCAAAACTACATAATCTGTGTTTTTAAACAAATGAACGAATCTGTAGTTTACTCTATTCTTAACGATTTAATAGAACCCACATGAAATAATATTAAAAGTAATAGAATCAAATTTATAACTCTGGATCGTCATTAAAAAATCTTGACCATTTATATACACTATATTATTTCTTTTTAACTATTATTTTAGTTCTAACGTGTTCATGATTTTATAATATAAAGTTTAAAAAATTCAAAAAAATCTGATCAATTTYAGGGGTATACAAAAAGTCATTTGATCCAATTAGAACCGACCGACCATAATTGGATATTCAATTGAAATCGGACCGGATCCAAAATTTCAATATCTAAATCGGATCGGTCAGTTMTTGGATGACAGTTCGACATCCAATAAAACCAAACTAATTCAATCCAATGACCATCTAATTAATAACTATATATAATTATTTAYATTTTACAATATTTTTTAGTTGATATTTATGTACATTGTTTTTTAATAACTTAAGAAAATATGTGAATAATTGGTTGAAATGGTGAATTAATTGGTTGAGTATTGGATCGACGATTTGTACATAAGACGGTAAATTGATATCTTGAGCAGTTACATATTCAGGGCCTCTGATACAAATAAACGTCTCACAAGGGTCAAAAGACCGGACAAATCCAATCCAATCAAATGGATAACCTATAGCAACATCCAGTGGATGAAACCGATCCGATCCAATCATCCATTAGATTTGGATGGGATCGGGGTTAACCGAATCGGATCAGATGATAAAATCCAACATCCAATTGATGATTTGATCAGATCCACCTAATTCCACTAKATTTCAACCGATGCACACCCCTAATCAGTTTTTACCATTTTAATTGGTAAGTTTCTAAATTATTTTTTTAAACAAATAAAACCATTGAGTTTTTTTTTTTGAATGATTAAGTGTCTGTATATTAACTTTTAAACAAACTACTTTTAGAAAGAAAAAAAAAGCTATTTGTAATTTGTTAGAAAAGTTTTTAACGTAAAAATTTAAATCAATTTTACTGTTCAAATCCTACGTCATTAAAACCTCTCACATCTAGTGACACTGCTTCCCTTCRTCACCCTATCATTTTCCGTTCTCTATACCAGCCGTTGTCATCACTTATTTGTAACACCCCAAAGCCCAAAGCAACGAACTAGCCCAATAACTTCGAATCCAACTTAAAACCATGGTGGAAGTTATTGGTAACCCACTGCTTGAGACTTATAAGGAGTTAACAATTCTCACATTCTATCAATGTGGGACGAGTTGTTACAAACTACCCCATTTAAACTCTTGACGTCCTCGTCAAGCTGACGCCAGGCTTATCCAGAATCTTCCTCCTTGTCATCGGYGATGTGGGATTTGCCTAAGATGTTACAAACACCCCCTCTTGAGGACTCATCATACTCGATGAGGTTTGCCCCACCATCTCGATGGTACAAGGATCGGCTCTGATACCATTTGTAACATCTCAAAACCCAAAGCAACGAACTAGCTCAATAACTTCCACCATGGTTTAAGTATCTTTCTCTCTCCTTTTTTTAAATATTTTTTGTCTTTCAATTTTCATTTGTTTACAACGTCTTAATGAAGTACGTGTAAATAAATAAAAAAGGTAACAAATGGAAAACAAAAATAAATGATAAAAAAAGAGGGAGATCGATGACAGGGCCCCAGCGACGGTGATAAAGATCGGACGACAATGGAATGACAAGGGGGAGCGATAACATTGGGTAYATTAGATATTTATGATGTATGATTTGGGAATGATGACAGTGATTTAGGTTTTCTTTACTTTAAAACTTCGTAGCCGGTTATTGATAGTTTTTCTGGATTAAAAAGATGCATGTAACCGATTTTTAAAATATCGATTATAAAGTATTTGACAAAAACTCTTAAAAATCATTATTTATGCATTAAATACTGTTTATTAATGCATGTTACTTAAAAATTGAGATTAGAAGTAAATTGTGCATAAKTACAACTTATTAAAGCTTCATGTTTGAATTCGTGTAACTAACTGCAGATAAACATAATAAAATACAAGATAAACATTTCATTTTAAATATAAAAAATCTAAAATATAATTAGAATAATCATTGTATTCTAATAGAATACTCAATGGTTATCCTTATAAAAAGTTATATTATTAAATAAAAATAAATTATTTTGTTATGAAATCTAAATTAAATAATAATACAAAAAATGAACTAAAGGAATTTCATAAAAAAAACAAAAACTTTTAAATAGTTAATTTGATATATTTATTTTTGAAATTTTATAATATATTCAAATTTATATTTTATTCAAAAATAAAAACAATATCCATCTCTCAAAACCACATAAAACCATATTAAAACATCTACAAAGACGGAATAAAACGAARCATTAAAATCGAGATATATCTTCCTGTATTGCACGAGTATATTTCTGGTTTATTAAAAAATATTTAAAGACTTAATCATTCAAAATAAAAAAACTTAATAATTTACTTATTAAAAAAAAAGTAGTTTAAAACTTTATCAATCAAAACATAAAAGTTTGTTAGTTATTTTGAAAAATTTCCTATAAAATTTTGCATCCGAATATATAATAAATAAAGATTTTATGTTATAATGGACGAAAATACATATTTTTTAATGTGAAATTACGATTTTMATCTCCATAGTTTGTTAATAATTCCCATTTTTATCTTTGTGGTTTAAAAATTACGATTTTAATCCTTATGATTCGTAATTTATTGCTATTTTCATTGTTAGGTTAAACTGCTACATTTTTTAATTAACATGAATATTCAACCCGCTATACAAACCAACTAATTCTAGGGCGACTATTCGTTTTGYGGATAACCCGGAATCACCRCATTTGAACCTCCGTTGTCACAAGARGATTTTTTTTATTTCTCATTGGATTCGAATCTGTTATTAATTTTGGAGCCCAAYCTTAAACCACATGAACTAGGGTTGTTTGTTTACCTCTCAATAGTTTCATTAAGAAGCAACCTTTAAATCGTTAACAGATGAATCTTATTTGAAAAAAAATCTGCTTTTTAATGGTTTAAATCCCTCTGAATGATTTTGTATYATGAGTCCATCTTGACCATTTAGCGCCTTAATTTCATTGTAAACAATTACCAAACAATTATATTTAATTTTCTATTATATGGTGAAAGCCTCTTAATCATGCTGATCACTTAATCATTTAGTAACTGCCAAACAACCCTAAAAACAACAATAAACTGTAAATCATAAGAACGAAAATCAAAATTTTAACAAACCACATAAACTAAAAACGAAATTTAGTCAAATATTTATGATAAATTTGAAAATTTGATGTGATACCTACAAATTTGGATACCGTATCAAAAACAATATTTGTTTGTGGAATGAAGATACGATGATTAAATAAACAAAATTCAAACATGGAGACAAAAAGGAAAAAAAAGAGATGGAAGCAAAAGCAAAATCTTGACGCCTGCTTCATCAACATCCTCCTCACATATCCATCGTTCTTTTTTCACCTTTCTCTCTCTCTTCCCCCCTCCCCATTCTTCTTCTTTTTCACGTTTCTTGAGTCTCTACACATATACATACATATTATATATGTATATACAATCACTGTTTTTGTAATTCTGTTTCTCTCTCATCGCATTTTACTCTGCACAGCACAAATCAATCGTATTCTTGAAAAAGATCTTGTGTTTTTCCCTTTTCTGATTCTTCAATCCTCCTTCATTCGTATACCCAATAAAAAGATTGTGTAATCTTTGATCAATTGGCGTTGATGATGCTTTTGAATTTTTAGTGGGTGTTGAAGAATTAGGGTTCGTAGATTGATAATTATGTAGTTTTTCGTTTAAATTAAAGATTAGGGTCTGCTAATTTTTCTTGTTCTTTAATTGGGTATCTTTAATTTTGGTGCGTGGGTCGATAATCGATTGTTGATTTGGCTGATTTTGATGAAATTGATCAAGCGGGGCTAACTTTTTCCAGACCCTAATTGAGGTGTAATTAGGTATATATATATATATATTTATAGATCTGAGTGGCGATTGAACGGTTTTTTTGTTAAGTTGGGGAGTCAATTCAAGAAACCATCATGGATCATATTGTTGGTGGAAAGTTTAAGCTTGGAAGGAAAATTGGGAGTGGATCCTTTGGTGAACTCTATTTAGGTACAATTCTAAATTTTGAGAAATCAATTGCAGTTATTATATATATATAAATGTGTGTGTGTGTGTTTCTTGTTTGTTGATATCCTTCTTGTTTGATGATATTGCAGGTGTCAACATTCAAAGTGGAGAAGAAGTAGCTGTTAAACTGGTATTGACTTCCATTCCTGATGGTGGTTTTGGTGTTTATGATTGCTTGATTCATTATGAGTTATTGGATTTCCATACCATTGATCTTGCAAAAATGGAAAAATAGAAAAGCACACACAAACACACACTCATTTGCAGAAAGAAGGCACATTTTGGACAAGAAGTGTGATGTATGGTTGCATTTATGACGTCATTACTTGTCGAAGATCATTATATCTTGCATACTATTATGTTAGTTTGCGATGAAAAGTAAAGTGTATAATGATTAACGGAGTAAATCATTCGGTAATTTTATACCGATTATTATGTTCATTTTTCAAACTAGGTTGCTATATGAGTTTAATTGTTTTGATCTTGTTAAAAAGGTAAATTAGAATCGATAACAAATAAGAAATATCTTTTTTTCTGGGGTGAAGTTTTGATGGCATTGTATTAGTGTAAAACTAAACTTAACAAAACACACTCCGCATGTCTCACTTGGAAGTAGGGTCTGGGGGTGGGATGTAAGTAGACCTTCTCTCTACCTTAAAGGGTAGAACAATTGTTTTCGTGAAAATCACTGCGTGTGAAAAAGTGTTTGTTGGCGTGGTATTAGTATGTGATGTTAATTATCTTAAGCATGGCTTATGAATCTCCCTTTTAGTTTATGTAATTGTAGGATTTCCTTTCGAAACCATAGTGGGACATTTCATATTGTTTTCTTGCTAATCGTGGTTTTCTATTTGTACCATTTACTTTATTTATATAGTTACTCGCTTACTCTTCATGTTGGTTCATCTATGTCTACTTCATAATCACGATAATAGTTACGGTTACATGCCATCGTACACAGTAATAAATATAGGAAGCGATAAGTGAAAGATATTGTTCGTTCTAAGATTTCCCAAAAAGCTAATTGTAGGTTTGCTTCAACTGGGTTATTTTGCAAAAAAAAAGTATGACACCACCCTCAATACTGGTCCCAAGGCCATCATTGGGAGGTAATTCACATGCCCCTAAGGGCTAGGGGTAATTAGGGATATAGAAAAAGGGGCGAATTTTATGTGACCTTTGATTCTTTATACTATTAGATCTTATGTCAACAAAGAAAACTTCATTTGTTTAATTTTGATTCAGAGGAAAGAAAGTGTGGAGGGTGGTTTCTCGAGTCATACCTCTTAGAAGAAAAGAACTTCATGTTGCGTGTAAATCTAAATCAAACTCCTTGTCCAACATCACAATAGTTAAGTTCCATCTTTTCTGTTGCACCATATGTTTATGGTTTTGTTGATGGGAAACTCTCATCTTTTAGTTTTTTGGTTAACTCTTATAACCTTATATCTTATCGCAAATAAAGGCTAGGCTTATGGCTCCTCCCTATGTAGCCGGTTCGAGTCTCCTTAGGGACATTCTAGCTGTTATCTTCAGGGCTCCATGGGATTAGTCGAGGTGCATTCGAGTTGGCCTGGACACTAGGGTTACCAAAAAAACTTAAGGAGTTCTTGTTTGAAGTATTTAAAAGACATCACTTTGCTGAAGTAGATTAACAAAATTATGAATATGTTGCTTATTAAACCAAAGAACCTTCATGGTGGCACTCATATGTCCAAAGGAGATTCTTCATGATGAACATGCTATATTTATATGCACCGTGTCTAGTTGAAGGTAATACGTGTAGACCCCTTTGTGGCTATAGATCCGCTCCTCTCGCCTCCCCCAGTTTAGAGTATAGGAACTCATATTTTTTTGTTATTGCAACCTACAGGAATCTGTGAAGACGAGGCATCCTCAACTTCATTATGAATCAAAGATATATAGGCTTCTCCAAGGAGGAAGTGAGTTTCTCTCTCTTTTGTAACTTGGGATTTTGTCGTATATGTGTGTGTGTGTGTGTATAAAGTTCAATGGAGAACCATAAATGTTTTAGAACTTGTTTAATGTATTATTCATGATGAATAACTCTAAAGAATCTTGAACATTATTCATCATGTGAATATCATGCATTTTTTCATAAATATCATGTATTTTCATTATTAATAATTTTCGTCATGAATATCTTTCACGACATTCATCATGAATAAAACATGAACAGTTGTTTTCAAAATATTTACGGTTCTCATTTGAACCTACCCCTATGTATGTGCATGCATGTATTCATATTAGTTTCACAAGGTTATATATTTGACTTGACACTTCTTATGATGAACCCTCGCACACACTCGTGTCACTTCGTGCTAATTAACCAAATCATATATTTGTGTTGTCAATGAAGCGGGAATACCTAACCTCAAGTGGTTTGGCGTTGAGGGTGAGTACAATATCATGGTTATTGACCTTCTTGGACCAAGCCTTGAAGACCTTTTCAACTATTGTAATAGAAAGTTCACCTTGAAAACCGTCCTAATGCTTGCGGATCAATTAGTAAGTGTTCATGATAACTCGTCTTTATAAAATCATTCTTCAACTTATAGATCATTTCTCATTCATTTAATGATCTTTCAGTTAAATAGAGTTGAGTACATGCATGCAAGGGGTTTTCTTCACCGTGACTTGAAGCCCGATAATTTTCTTATGGGCCTCGGTCGCAAAGCCAATCAGGTAATTTCCATAGGTGTCGCTAGTTCCAGTCTCCTCAGGGTTATAGGTTGTTATCTTTAGGACCACTGGGGATTTTCCTAGCTGTTATCTTGAGGGCCACTAGCGATTTTCCTTGCTGTTATCTTCAGGGCTTCATGGGATTAGTTGAGGTGTGCGAAAGCTGGCACAGATGCCCATAATATCTTTTGGTTATTGGGCCTCCGTGCAAGCTTTCGCACATGTCGAGGATTATTGGGCGACGGTTATCCCAAAAAAAGATCTTTTAAATTTATGCCAACTTTGTTCTGCTTCTTTTTATTTTTCAAAGTGTATGTTCAATGTTTGATAAAGGTGGTTTGTTAGTGTTGAAATGGAAATCTTTAAATGCGTTCCTTTGCATTTTGCAAAGAGGCCGTTTTCATGATTTGAGTTGGGTGTATTGCAGCTAGTATGTTAAAAGCACTTTGTAAATTCCAATTTGTATATCTTTTCACGGCCGTTTCTTATGACAGGTGTACGCAATTGATTTTGGCCTAGCGAAAAAATATAGGGATCTTCAAACTCATAAACACATACCATATAGGTAACCTATCTTTCCACTCGGTTCTTTCTTTTGCTGGTGCCCTCTTTTTCACATGAAAATTGTAATGTTCGACTTGACACGTATTGGCTCGAGATGTAAAAAAGTTATTATTTCTTTACTTTCATACCCGTTTATGTCTATTCGCAATCTTTGAGAAGGTGTTATCAGTCTATATTCGATGTTAAACTCATTAGAAAATTGTCAGGGAAAACAAGAATCTCACGGGCACGGCTCGTTATGCTAGTGTCAACACGCACCTTGGAGTTGGTGAGTGTGTTACATCACTTCAAAATTTCGAGTATTCTTCTAATGAAAGACGGGTTTTTAAAAGCTTTCTATACCATATAAAGTTTCGATCTTTTTGTGAACGTGCAGAACAAAGTAGACGTGATGATCTTGAATCTCTTGGTTACGTTCTTATGTATTTTATTAGAGGAAGGTCAGCAGATGAAGTTTGTTGTTATTTGTCGGTCATTTTTCTTTGTTGTCTCTGCACCCTGATTTGATTTGTGCTTGTCTTTTTTGCATTAGCCTTCCTTGGCAGGGACTGAAAGCGGGAAACAAGAAGCAGAAATACGACAAGATCAGCGAAAAGAAAATGTTGACTCCGATAGAGGTATTGTGAATGTGCATGTATCATTTGACTATGGATAATATAAATTCATATATGTATATGTAAGTGGGGACAGGTTCTCGTATGTATTTTCAGAACCGTGAACCAAATATTCATAATGAATATTCATGATATTCATAATTGAATTTCATTCATTCATCTATATCTATACTATATCATACACATTAAACATTAGGTACCGACGTCTGACGTATTGTTTAGTAATGCATAATCCCCTAAATTTCAAGTTTACAAGTAATTACTGCATACACATAATTTTTTAAAGCTCTTGGAACTCTATAAAACAAACTAATAACCAACTGAATTTCAAAGTTTATAATACAATCTTGCATCCCGCTACATTGGATGGGTATGCAACTAGTGTATATTTCTTCATATTCATTATGAATATTATGTTATTTACGTTCCTTAAATGAACCTTTCTTCTTGTGTCTTTATGCTTCCCTGCCACTTCAAAAGATAGTTGAAATTCCCGTTGTTTGATAGGTACTATGTAAATCATTTCCATCAGAGTTTATATCGTACTTTCACTATTGTCGATCGTTGCGGTTTGAGGATAAACCGGACTATTCGTACTTGAAGAGGCTTTTCCGGGACTTGTTTATTCGTGAAGGTGAAAGAGAAGTCCATAACTACGCTACCTTTAATCCCCATATGCTCGATTGATCGAATCCATTCTGCCATTTTTGATTATTTTATTTGAACTTCATGATGTTCGTATCTCAGGCTATCAGTTTGACTATGTCTTCGATTGGACTGTATTGAAGTATCCTCAAATAGGTGCCAGCTCCAGAGGACGGGTCGGTACCATAAAAAGTAACTTTTTACGTATTTATGCTGTTCGTTTGAAGAAGTAATATTAATTTTCTGCGTCTTTTTTGCAGCATCATAGTGGTAACGCGGGGTTAAATGCTGGAACATCTGCAGAAAAGCACAGAGGAGCCCCGGGTATTAGCTTATAACTATAATTTCGAATGAAGATGGATGTTATTTGTTTGCTATAGTTAAATATGACACCGATATTACTATACTTTCTTCTTTTGATTCTTTAACAGAATCTAGAAAATTGATCAACCGGGTATTTTTACATGTTCACTGCCTGTATTCACATGTGAATATGACTTATGGGATGTTAGGTTGGTTTTCTGTTAAGTCATGTATGGATAAAGTTGTTTGTGGATCAACCTATCTGTATAGATTGAAAGTTTTTGTTTGGGAGGGTTTTCTCATAGATGGAAGGATCGTGGTTTTTAATATGAAGTGGGTAGGTTTGGAAAAAAAAACTTGGTTTTCTGCATAGAGCATTAAAGCTCCCCCTAGAAGCTTACTAAATAAGTTAGTTTCTGAATCATTAAGCCACTACCAAACAGTCATATACAGCTGATCGAATAAGCTGTGAGTCCTATTAAGCTCATTAAGCTGCTAATAAACAAACCCTTAGTTTCATATATTGTGGATGACAGTTGAGTTTTGAGGAACTAAAGCGGTATTCACATGTGAATATGCATTGTTATCTTAAAGAACTTTCAAATATAGATTTAAATGAATTATATCACATGTGAATACCTTACCGATTTAGTTTCAAATTCCAACCTTTTGTTTAATTGAAGACGGGTGTCATTCGTTTGCTATTATACTTGTTTGTATATGTATGTATATGTGCGTATATTAATACGCCCCGTGTTTTTAAACAGTTGGACAAGATGGCCGTGCAGGAGACGCATACTTGAGAAGAAATCCCACACCCGGTGGGCGTTATGAACATGCAAGACACCGGACTTCTGAAGATCTGCCTTCATCAAAGGATGTGGTAAGTTTCTGTAACTATTGAATAAAACCTTGTTTCATCCCTGTCCACCAATCACGTGAAGACACATCATAAATTTTTACTAAGAGAGAGAAAAGTTGTGGGTTTGATCGGAGGGAAAAGTCGACGTGGTTTGACTGAGGGAAAGTCAATTATGTCGATTTCGGGAAAGTCAATAATGGCTTTCTAGTTGTTAACAGATTCATATTCACATACATTCGAGCATGCGCCTTTTCAAGCCAAACATGCTCATATGTTCTGTATCATACGATAAAAATATAAATATTATCGAGCTTAAACCAACAAAAGGGTTAATCGATCGCGAATTCGATCCCTTGGACGAGCATCGAGCTCGAGCCCTAATTTGAAAAGGTTATTCGAGTTATAGCCTGGTATTAGTTTTTCTACTCGGCTCGGCTTGTTTACACTCCTATTTGTACCTAAATGGTATTATGATGGTGTTATTTGATTTGCAGCAAGCTGATTCCGAAAAAGTGCGAACGTCTCGAAATGGGAGCGCGTCGAAGTATGGTGTGGTCTCGGGCACCAGACCGAGCTCGTCAGCTGAAGCTACGGAAGGCCAATCGTCAAGCCGGATTGTGTCGAGCATCGGGGGCCGAATGTCTACTACTCAAAGAGGCCTTGAGACCAAACCGAGCCGTACCTCAAAGGGTGGACGCGAAGATCCTCTGAGGAGCTTCGAGTTCCTACAAATCAGGAAGTAACGATAAAAAAATCACCGTTAAGTAAAAAATGACGAGATTTATGTTTTTCGGCTCTCTTTCGTATTTTTCGGAGTTCTCGGGCTGTGCATGACCCGCGTGTATTCGTCATTATCACTGTACACGCTCTTGTACGGTTATACTTGAATACTACGATGGTTATTTTTTCTCTTTCGTTTGTTTTGGAATGTCGGGTTTGGTGATTTTGGGAAGGATCCTTTTCGAGTCGTTTGTTGTGATTTATTCGAGTTCAAACGATTTGACAAGAGACGATAAAACATGGCGTTCGACTTTTGTTTGTCATTAAATTCATGAAAAAAGCAAAAGGTCATTGGTCTAACAGTATCTCTACGTTATAGTAGAGTCTAACAGGCCGTTTACCCAACACTTATCCGGTAAGTATTTACCGGTAAAATTTAACACTATAATTTACTTACCAGGTAAGATTTTAGTCCATTAAAACGACATCTTATGCAACAATTTATCCGGTAAGCGTTTACCGTGGTAAGAGTCGTTGCCCTCACTTACCGGGTAAGATTCATGGCCATTGTCTCGCTCTTACCGGTAAGATTATTGGTCCTTGCCATATTCATCCGGTGAGGTAACATGACTTGGTAAGCGCTTACCCGGATAAATGTTTAGTAAACGGCCCCTAACCTCCTAGAAGGTTAAGCATTCAAATTTCACTAAAAGTGATGAGTGTTTGGTTGGTTTTCCATTAGGTGATGTATAGAAAAAACTGTATGTGTTGATTAATCTGTTTGTATAGATTGAGAAGGTTTTTGGTTCTTACCATATTCATCTGGTGAAGTAATGTGAGTTGGTAAACACTTATCCGAGTAAGTGTTTGATAAACGACCAACCACTTGATTTGTAATGAGTATATTGATATCCATATATAATTCAAGAGAATCACGAAAGGAAAGCATGAAGATGGCGAAGAAGATGTGTAATCCAAACAATCTGAGCAGCAGCGTTTGCCATGGTGCGATACTCGGATTCACAACTTGAACGATTTACCAATCAACATCGAAGCAACCAAGTAGAGACGTAGGTAGGCATTGAAAAGAAAGACCGTAGGAAAAAGTGCCTTTAACATAACGCAAGAGTTGTTTCATTGCCTTGGTCCGCTTGGAAATGGGCAACTATGGGAGCATGAAGGAATTGACTCGCTTAACAACATAGGAAAGATCTGGTCTTGTAATGGTAAGATACTAAAGAGCACGACTGATAAAGTGTGGGATCCGAGAAAGCTGTGCCAGTAGCAGAGAAAGTAATATTAGCATCAATAGGAGTGCCCACGGGTTTGGAGTCGAGTAGGCCAGCACGTGTAGGGATATCATGAGCATACTTGACTTGACTAGAAAACAAGCCATTTTCGGTTTAAACCACTTCGAGGCCCAAAAAATAGCTTTAATGACGAGCTTCTTTTGGACAAACCGTGCTTAAAATAGCTTTAATGACGAGCTTCTTTTGGACAAACCGTGCTTTTCTATCATCCGGTCACTAGGAGCAGTGGTTTGAAGATTTCTTAAAGATCCGAAGACGACAAAAAATATAAAGATTTATAGAGGAAGGGATAAATAGTAAACACCTTTTATACTAAAAAGAATATAAACTTGACCAATAACAATGTGACATGTCTATTAAAATATTAAAAAATTGGCAATCCGATTATAGCATTAGGGATGTTCATGGGTTGGGTTGATTGGGATAAAGACATTTGAACAGCCCAACCCAATGCTTACGGTTTGAAAAATCTTAACTCAACCAAACCAAAGTGCAACCTAACCCAACCCAAATCGTACGGGTTGGTCGGGTTGATACTTTGGTACATTAAGATATTATTCTAACCTTTAATATGTTATTTCTCTACTCATAATTTCGTTTTCATTATCAACTATTTGATACAAGCTATCTATACTTCTTACGTATATCACGTTCAATTAATTTTCTCAATCTATATATATATGTTCACAATTACTAAACATATATACGAATGATTATATAAAAATGCGAATGAATTGAAAATATGTGTATATGAAGAACGTACGTGATAATTAATTGTCTAATTTGTATATTAATATAAATTCAACAATCATATTAAATCCAAGAAATAAAAAAGATATCGGGTTGGATTGAGTTTAAGTAATAGTAATCCAATATCAACTCAATACCTATAGTTTGAAAATTTTACAACTCGATTAAACATCAGATTACTTCAGATTGAATTATTTCACGTTGGATTAAATTTGGTTGATCGGGCTTTTGAACACTCCACGTGACCAAATAGCTTGAGATTGCAATCTCTACTTTCTTATTTATTTATTTTTTTTCTACTTACAATCCCATAAATTTGGGCCAAAATTTTAATTAAAAACAGGAGCCAGGCCCAATCAATAGCCCCAACTATTAAATACCTCCTCTGTCGAAAACCCTAATTTTCATCGTCTTCGTCGCCACCGTTTCCATTCTCCACGGCGCTCTGCAACTGAACGCCTGAAAATGGTAGAATGTAACTCTGAGCTGTATCTCTATAGTATGTTGTGTAATTGAGATGATTTTTTTTAAATCTTAATAAATTTGTGTATAATTTGATTTAGCCGTTCAAGAGGTACGTTGAGATCGGAAGAGTTGGCCTCGTTAACTATGGAAAGGATTATGGAAAGCTCGTAGTGATCGTCGACGTCATTGATCAAAACAGGGTATCTCCATTGTTTTACAAACACCTTAATATTTGATTAAATTATTACTCTGATTTGATCATCGGAACCTATTATTTTGATTTTGCCTCTGCGAACGTATCGTAATTATGCTTTTTTAGGTCGATGTTTGATGTTTTAGTTCATTTGAATTAGCATAAGTTGTAGTTTGTGTCAGAGGGTTTTGTGATATCATCTGATGTTCGAGGTTTAACTTGAATCAACACTTTTTTGAGCTTGATGCTTTTTGTTGTTTGTCTTGCTTTTGATTTCTGCATCGTGTTTTGAGACCAAACAAACCAAGTTTTAGTTTCTATCTACTTTATATGTATTCTCTATGTTCTCGAGTAACTTATAGTAATTATACATGGTTATATCAAAGAATTTGGAGATAACAACATTAACGGGCAGTACAAAGTTTTTCGTCTTAATATTCCCGAGAGGAAGCTTTCTCTTTTGTTCTCCAAGGTCAGATTATATAGTCGTAGGTTGTCACTGCTCAGGATGGTAGCTTTTGTTCCTATAGGGTGCGATTGCGGATTGTTATATTGGGAGGTTCATTACTTCAATTAGTCCCCATGTTCCTGAATGGATCTCTTTGTTGTTGAAAAGGTTGCCCAAAAGCGGTATATAAGACATACCCAGTAAAACTTACATGTAATGATAAACCAGATATAAAGATGCCTACTAGGGCTGCTGTTTCCATTATAGTATAATTTCAAGAATCAAGACCAAGTCTTATAAAACTTTTACTTTCATTTTTACTAATTAGATTCTGTAATAGGTTCACTCCTTTAATATCTTGAATGAATGAGAACAATGAGTTCTCATGATGCGTGGCAGGAAGGATAGACAGTACAGAAAAACTTGTCATCCCATGTTCGGCAGTACATTAGACACATCACTTCATGGAACAAAAATGAATTTTTTGTCTCACCACATTAAATGGAACAAAAATTAAGGGGTAGGGACAAAATTGGTAAAGCACTAAACTACTTATGTCAAATTAAAACCCTAAACTTTTACAATTCTTTCACTTGCCTACATCACTTGCCCAGTTCCAACCGCGTTCCAAATGCACCCGTACTGTTCCAGTTGGTGTGATTTATCTTTGTTTTTTGTTCACCTTTAATACCTTCATGCAGCTACTGCATTTGTTGTTAACGAGGGAGTTTGTATCTAATTTGATTAACTATATATGAATATGTGGCCAACTGTGTGCATTTTTTTGAATCTCCTCTTTTTGATATGCAGGCTCTTGTTGATGCTCCTGACATGGTGAGGAGCCAATTGAACTTTAAGAGGCTAACACTCACAGACATCAAGATCGACATCAAAAGAGTTCCAAACAAGAAAACTCTTGTTGCTGCTTTGGAGGCTGCTGGTATGTATCACATTGGTTGAATGGTCGTGGCTCATTGTATGCTTGTGGCCGGTTAGATCACTAAGTTTTTGACTGTCTGCAGATGTCAAAAACAAGTGGGAAAGCAGCTCGTGGGGAAGAAAACTCATTGTTCAAAAGAAGAGAGCCTCCCTTAACGATTTTGATAGGTTTAAGATTATGTTGGCAAAGATAAAGGTTTGTACTTCATCTTGCTACATTCTTTTGGGCTTGATCTGCACTTCATGTGATTGCTTTTCAATAAGAATCTAGACACTCTGATTAGCAAGATTTTTTCGTTTGATGGCAGTGAGTTAATGTCGTACACTAGCTGAGGCTGTTCAATCGGTACATTAGAATACAGTTGAGAGCCAACTCAACTGGCAAATAAAGGGCAGTTGTTGGGGCTCCTCCCTCTAGGTTGCCGGTTTGAGTCTTTTTAAGGAAACCGGGGATATTTAGGCTGTTATTTTCAGCGCCCCATGGGACAAAAACATGTGAGCATTATCTCAATGGGCAAATTAAGGCTATATGCCTTGGGGCTCCTTCTCATAGGGATCCATTTTGAGACTTTTTAGTGCAACCGTGGATTTTCCTAGCTCTTATGTTCATTTTTTGCAGCCCCATGGGAAAAAGACATGTCAGGGACTCAGGGCCAGTTCAACCGACAAATAAAAGGCTAGGCTATGGGGTTGCTCCTCATAGGGCACTGGTTTTAGTTATTTTAGGGCAACCGGAGATTTTTCTAGCTTTTATTTTCAGGGTCTCATGGGAAGTAAACACTTGAAGGCCAACTCAACTGGCAAATAAAGGGTAGGCCTTGGACTTGGAGGCTTCTCTCCGTAGGTTGCCAGTTCGAGTTTTTTCATTCCACTAGGTGTTTTTCTACTAGTTATCTATAGCCCCCCATGGGATCGGTCGACGTGTGCACATGTTGGCATGTACACCCATAGTGTACAAAATGACCTGCATTTTCTATCTTGTACAAATAAGGCATCTATCGAGCTTTTACCTTGGATGGTGCCGTAGAATGTTCACCGTTTGGAAAATTATGTTATTACTTGTTTTGCAATCAGATGATGGTTTTATGTTCGATGATTCATCCTCATTGTGTATGTGGTTTCTGATCTTGCAGGAGGCGGGAGTCGTTAGGCAAGAGCTAGCCAAACTTAAGAAGGAGACCACGGCGTGATTTGTTATTTGTGGTCGAATTGTTTCCGAGTTGGTTCGTAGGAGCTTGTGTTTAATCTTTTACAAGTGATTGTTAGAATTTTGGCCGATTCAATTTTGAACTATGTTGTTTGTTGCCTGTGTCTTCTGCTTTATCTTTTGGCATCTTTATTTTTTTGGATTAATTACAAAACTCTATAATAATAACCAACTTCATTTTAACATTTAACAATGGGCAAATTGCATGAAAAAGTAACGTACTTTAACTTGAATCTTATTTTTGGTAACGTACTTTTAAAACTTTCATTTTGGTACCTAAGATATAAAGTTTTAAACATTTAAGTACTCGGGTAACTGGTTGAAGTATTAACCGGTTATCATACTGATGTGACAAGTGATAGTATCCAACTCGGTATTATTTGTTGACCTAGTCAGTGACGTAGATTTTTTTAATCTAAAATTAGTTTTTTTTAGTCTAAAATTAGTCTTCATTGGGTTATCTGGGTAATTAAATGTTTAAAACTTTACATCTTAAGTATCAAAATAGAAGTTTTGAAAGTACGTTACCCAAAATAGGAATCAAGTTAAAGTACGTTACTTTTTCATGCAATTTGCCCTTTAACAATTAATCACGGTTTTATGTGATTTTGAGAAAACGATAATGTTTTTATTTTTGAATAAAATATAAATATGAAGATATATCATAAAAATATAAAAAAAGATATTGATATCGGTATCAAACTAATTATTTAATTTTTTTGTGTATTTCTTTAATTCATTTTTTATTTTTGGTTTAGTAATACATAACTTTTTATAATGATAATAATTAAGTATTTTGTTAGAACTTAATGATTATCTTAATTATATTTTAAATTTTTTATATTTAAAATGAGATGTTTATTTCACAAATTCAAACATGAAACTTTAATAAGTTGTATCTAGACATAATTTATTTGTATTTTTAAATTTTAAGTAATATGCATCAATAAACAATACTTCGTGTACAAAATATGTATTTTAAATTTTTTTGTCAAATGATTTATAATATAGATATAGATATACTGAATTCGTTTATTATTCTTTTTAACATTTCAGACTTTGTTTTGTTATCAATTAAACAAATATGAAAAGCAGATAAAGTATTCTCCTTTTAATCATATTATAATTAAATACATCACCTTTTCATAAATATGTAATATTTTTTTAAACTAAATGATATTTTAATTAACTATATAGCCTCCTTATGTGAATATTCATATTAAAATTTGAATTTAATTAGTAATACTTTGCTTATAATTATATCATTTATAAATCTAAAGATTAGTACTATCCATACAAACTAATCTCACATCTATTCTAACGAATATCTTAACTGTTTCCTAATATAAAATATTGATCATAATAAATGATTTTTGAAATTTTTCATAAATATCGAAGAACATGAGAAATGAACCTTTTATCGGGCCTAACTTTGTTTTTTTCAATGGACCTAATATAGTAAATTCAAGCCCCCTTTTTTTGGGATCGACATCTTGTCATTGTTTGTCTTATAAACGGGCCAAACTTGCCTGCGGGTTAACAGGCCTAAAAATGTAATTCTTATAAATTTATAAACTTGATCATTAACAATTAATTAACAAATGTGAAACCAAAAAATAAAGAAAAAAACACCATTGTAGTTAAAATTTTATGCAACTAAAGTGACACATGAATCTCAACAAGTGGAGAAAGAAATGAAAAACAAACCACCCCTTAGCCTTGTGGGTTCTCAAGAATAACCAAAGAGTTTCATCCTATAACTTTAATAATTTAATTTTAAAATATACTAGTATAATTTTAATTAATGGTAAAAAAATATTAATTACAAAATATAAACAGACCTGCTAATATTTATTTTTAAATAATTCATATTCATCTGTAATTTTTAACTAACAAATTTAGACTTATTTTCTCAATAATGGTTATCCAATCTTGTATTTTAACAAAACGGGTCCCACTGTTGGTCCCATCCATAAAGATATATCTACTTTTATCATTTAATATTTGAATTATTTATACTTAGCGAAGACCAGTTGTATATGAATATTTATGGGTCAACGTCAAACAATGTGTTTTAAACAAAAACAAGGTATAATTTGTGATTGTTACCCGGCACACAGCTTCCAATTCGAAGATTTATCAAACACAGGCGTCTCCGAGGAGATTCAAATCATTCCACTACACAAATCAATTGGTGTTTGATAATTTTGATTCATTAATCGCTGTCCAAATCCAAATACATATCCTTCAATCGCCAAACTGTATTATATATCGCCGCCTACGGTATTTCTTCGCAATTCCCAAATATATTTTTGAATGAAGGTGCATTCATTCTCTTATTTCTTGTAGAATTTTAACTATATTTGCATCCTTGCTGCTTTTCTTAACATGAATTGATATGCTATCTGATGTTCTTGGTCTAATGGGATTGAAAATTAACATTTTTGAAAGCTAGAGCAGTTAGTACTAATACTGCAAATTAAGAGGAAATTATTAATTAGGGTGTATAAGGTTGTGTTTGAGTTCAATAATTGGGCGGAGTGATTGTTTTTTTGGTGTCTAATCGGGTGTGGGTTTTGTGATTATTAGCTGCCGCAGTGTCTTATGAGTAATAGTAATAATGCAAATGGCGATATGGAATCTTATTTTCCGATTAGGCCAGAGTGCAAAGAAGATGTTCCCAAGACCCGATTTAAGCCCAAGGTATCTTGCTTGTCAAACTCTCATGGTGTAGTTGGGAAGCATTCATCTTTTTGGTATTACTTTTGTCACAATGTTTAAAGCTTGGTGATGGTTTAACTGTTTCAGGTTGGAAAAACTTTAAGTGAAAGGAGATGGAATGCTGCATTTGATCCAGACGGTCGTTTGGATATAGCAGGTGTGCTTAGGAGGATACAAAGAGGGGTACAGTTTTACTATCTACTTGTCTTCTATCTATACGTCTTTTTGGCATGAATGTTCTCTTTTAGTGGGAAGCTGTAAGGATTATGTAACAAATCAAGCTAGTAAATTATATATGCTTTTATTGTCAATATTTGTAATATTTTGTTTTCCTGGATTAAAATGTAAGACAGCCCATCCAACATTGACAAAAAATAAGATACGTGAGCTCTTTGTAACTTGTAAGCCTTAAATTGTGGGCAACTAATAAATTTAACCATGGTGTTAAGTTGATTTATTAGAGGTTATTGGGCTAATCTACTGCTTTGGGTTTAAGATGTTATAGAATGGTATGAGAGCCTATCATAGTGACATCATGATGGTGGTGGTTGGGGGGTGGGGTATTTGTAACATCTTAGGCAAATCCTACATCACCAATGAACAAATAGGATGCTAGGTATATATGATGAATAACCACTTCACTTAATGAGACACCTTTTATAACCATGATTCCGGGTTGCAACTTGTAGTCAAAGCAAACAATATCACTTTGTTGGTTGTGGTGTTACAAAGTGGCATTATAGCAATAGCCTCTCGAGTTGTAGTGGGTTGAGCTCATGTTTCTCTTGGGGTATTGATTTTGGGTATGTAGGCCTCACCAGGATGTTAGAAATTTTTGGGTATGTAGGCCACATGGACAGAAACGAGATTTGTAGCCTGCATTGCCCATAACTAAATGTTATGTTTTGGCAACAGAATATAGGGTAAATGGCTGGTTCACCATATTAAGTCAAAACTCTTATCCATTTTATTTCCAAATATAGGCTATAGCTACAAGCCTACAACCATCAAGGCATATCTAAACTCTAAAGACATGCCCTGCCCAACATAAGGAAGTGTCGACCAATCCAGCCTGAGTAATGGTGATGTATACTTCAGCACTAAAAGATGAAATGCAATGCTTTTAACCCGAGATCTAAAGAACCCTGTTTGAGCCTTTAGATTTTCGAAGTCTTTGCTTAGGAACTTGTCTTCCGCCCACGTCAAAGTTCTTACAGCTTCCCATTAAAAGAGAACATACATGCCAGAAAGATGTATAGACATTCAGATAGATAGTAAAACTGTACCCTCTTTGTATCCTCCTAAGCACACCTGCTATATCCAAACAACCATCTTTATCAAATGCAACATTCCATCTCTTTTCACTTAAAGTTTTCCCAACCTGAAACAGTTATAACAACCTAGGGTTCAAATCAGGTCTACGGAACATCTTCTTGGCACTCTGGCCTAATCGAAAAGTAACCATTCACATTCTATTACTCCTCATAAGACCATGCCCTCATGTGGCAGCTAATACGCATAAAAACCACACCTGAATAGACACCAAAAAGCAATCACTCTGCTAATTCTTAAACCCAAACACAACCTTATAAACCCTAATTAATAATTTCTCTTAATTTCCAGTATCTGTACTGACAACTCAAGCTTTCGAAATGTTTAATTTCATATTTTCAATCTCCTTGCCCAACAGTATCACATAGCTTAAACAAAAACAATATAAAATAAAAGTACTTTTAGTTATGTTTTTGGAAATAATAACACTGTCAAAAATGAATGTTACCCGGCACAACTGATTTTTCTTAGGTTGCAATTCGAAGGTACATGAAACACAAAAAACGACATCTCCCGGAGATTCAAATCATTTGAGTACACAAAATTGATTTTTCTTTGATAATTTTGACAAACCACAGGGCTTACTTTATATTTCATCATAAAATTTGAACTTATACTTCACATTATTGTTAGTTGTTTTGTATAAAAGATTTGTTTATTTTTATACAAGTCTGATTTTTGATGATGATACTTCTTAACTATTTGCAACTCCTTGAGGTGCAATTATTCACATTATATTCAAGAGTTACAAAATATAATATGGGATATCGATTCTAATAATGTTGATGAGCAAAATAAACTAATAATCTTTTTTTAAATCATTCTAGGGCATTCATCCATCGATTAAAGGGGCAGTCTGGGAATTTTTGTTGGGTTGTTATGATCCCAACAGTACCTCTCAGGAACGAGATGACCTCAGGCAAAAGAGGAGGTATTACTGTCAGCTATAACTTTCTTTTTGTAGTATATAATATTTATATACGGAAAATGAACTCACTAGTACTCCTCTACACCAAGAACATCGTAACAATTTCTATATTGGGATGCCCATGGTTATTGTACCTTGTTTTTTTGGGGAAGTGTTGATCTAAAATTACCCATTTGTCCATAGTTCTATTATAAACCACTAATGCTATTGACTTCTGGCAACCAACCCCCCCAACCCCCAGGATGCTGGGCCCTTGTGATTATTGAGGGGTATCTAGGCATTTGACTAATAGTCTAACACCTTTGTTCAATAATGTATCCAGTCAAACTTTGTATTTTTCAGAGGGAAATGATGTTTATAAATTAGCTCTTGGATTTGACATTATTGTAATCTTTTTGCCAAGTACTTCATTTTTATGTTGTCAGGGAACAGTATGCTTCATGGAAAGGGCAATGCAAAAAGATTGCACCCGTTGTTGGTAGCGGGAAGTTCGTTACGACACCTATAGTTAACGAGGATGGAACACCAGTAGAAGACAGTGGAGTTGTTATGCCAGAATCTGATGCTGATTCAGACAAGAAAGTGAGCCAGTGGTTACTGAGCTTGCATCAGATAGGTTGGTTAATTTCACTACAATTTTCTTCTCAAAGAGACTATTTTTAGCCTTTTGTGTATAGTTGTTTTTGTGTCGCACTCCTTACACATCACTGCACTTCTTTCCGAGACCACACTTCTTGAGACCAAGATTATAAATTCTAGAGTTGCTTCCTACTGACGGGTCCTTTGGTTGAAGGACCTTCTGACATGTTTATATTAAATCCATGACCTTCTGAAAGATTTGAGAATGCCACGGCCTAACGAAAGAATGCCACTTTTGTACACAAGAATCCCTAAAAACCTGTCAGAAGGTCATGGATTCAAAAATCACTTGTCAGGAGGTCGATTAGTTAAATAACCCTCCTACCTACTACTACTGATTGTGGGGATGCATGGTGGGTCATTTACGTATATAACCTTAAATGAGATTTCGATTAAATCCATGACCTCTGGACCTATTAAAAGAAAAATGGTTTTCATTTAAGGTTATATACCTAAATATCTTGTGCATGTTTCACATATATTTTGTGCAGGTTGTGTGTGTGTGCTCATCAGGAACTATAAAATCTCAAAATAGCATGCACTTATTTTCTGACAAGTTATTTTGTATATTGTGTAATGGAAAACCTTTTGTGGATCCTTTAGTTCCCTAAAAATCTATCCCGGTCTTAAGTTATCCTACTCCTTTTGGATAAGATCTTCGTTGGTCCTTTCACTAATGGTCTCACCATTTTCTAGTAGTTCTCGCGGATGTGCGAGGGACCATTCTTTCTATCGCTTGCCCTTTTTTCACTCTCAAGGCAAGGATCTCTCTCTCTCTTTTATAATGTGAAGCAAAGTGCATGGCACTGAAAGCTCAATAAACAGAGGAGAATGCACTGCAGTAGGCGCTCAGTTTGATAAGGATCAAGAAACATTGCTTCTTGGACCCGAACTAAGGAATCCCTTAGATATGATGCAAAATGGATCTATGATTAAGACGAATGGGAGTTTGATCTTGACTGATTGAAATGTAATTAATTTCTCTCGTCTTATACACTTGATATACCTTTTAACTTGGGATAAGTTGCTCAAATTTAAACAATTATGTGTAGTGTGTTTGAGTTTCCGGAAGCAGCAGATCGTAGTGTGTTCCTAGTAACTTGTAGTACACTATTCCCACAACTGGTGCCTGTTGGTTTTGCAGGTCTGGATGTTGTACGCACGGATCGTCCTCTTGTATATTATGAGAATGAAGCTAATCAGGCCAAGCTCTGGGATGTTCTTGCTATATATACTTGGGTAGATGATGATATTGGTTATGTTCAAGGTGACAAACTCTATTTTGTAGAGGGAGGTTCTGGGGAAAACCCCCAAAAGAATGAAAAACACAGGAACGCCTTAGTAACCATTCATCTGGACCATATACACATGTGCATACAAGTAACTGAAAGCTGTTTTTTGGTTTTTATGCATATGCATACCGGACAATTGCTTACAAATTACTTCTATGAACATGTGCATATCATCCAGATGAACGGTTACCAAGGTGTTCCTCAATTTTTCATTTTTTTGCGGTTTTCCTCTGAACCAGACCCTAGAACTGTAGGACATAAAACCTTTCAATAATATCATATGCTTTTTGTCGCTTCTTTTAAGCAGGGATGAATGATATATGTTCCCCTATGGTTATTCTTTTGGGGGAGGAAGCAGATGCGTTTTGGTGTTTTGAGCATGCAATGCGAAGAGTGGTACGATTGCAATCTTTAGAACTGACATTCCAAACTAGATGGTAGATTCATAGATTCATGACTATATTTCATTTCCTTGTTCGACCTATATGGATATAGATCTATATTTTGGCTTACTATTTTACTGTAGTTGATTGTAGTTCAGATGACCCCCAATTCTTTACCTAGAAACCTCCTTAAAAAGAAAGGTTTGGTGAACCTAATTGAGTGAAATGTCTTTGTTTTTTCAATAGATCGTGGTCTATCAGCTTAGATGGTGTTTGATTTTTGGATTAATGAACTAATGTTGTGGTCTATAGCTAAATTCGTTAAGTTTATACAATTATGTTTGATTATGGCCTAATGCCAAACTGAAGGCCTAATTCATTAAGCCAACTAATGTTGCTTTTACCCATTCAGCCAATCTTTTGCCAAGAGTATCCTCTTCCCCCCCCTTTTGGTTCTTCCATTTATGCAAATCCTTTTCCCTATCGTGTTCTTCTAGTTTTCTTTGGCCAAATGCTTTATTGTTCTATTAGTATCATCCACATTTATTAAATTTGATAGTATGTTGTTGAGTTATAGATATTTTTTTTAAAATAAAATCTGACGATACGTTGTTGATGGTTAAAACCGTAATTTATATCATTCAAAGAACAAAAAAGCAAATAATAATTTAAATCTTTAATTTATACAGGTTAATATTTACTTCCATACATTTGCTTAATATTTTGAATTAGCATAATCTTGTGAGGTTCAACTAGCATTGTCATTTGCAATCAATGTATATAAGTTTATGCTGTTGATGTTCAACAATTAATCCATGGAATAACTCTGGTTTCCTTTATGAAGAGGGAAAATTTCAGGTCTGATGCAACTTCTATGGGAGTGCAAGCACAACTCGGCATCCTTTCACAAGTTATGAGAGTTATCGATCCAAAGCTTCATCAACACCTTGGTAAGTTGCCCATGTATTTACAAGATAAATTATTTCTAAACTATTTCTAGGTTTAGGCGAAGGATCACGTGAGAATAGGAGTTAAAGTGAGAAGTGTAAGAAGGGATTTGGACCCTTGATCACTTTTAATTAGTGATGATCTAATGGTTCAGATTAAGTCCCAAAATAACCCATGAATTAGCTTAGAAGGGTATTTTCAATTGATCTTTAATTAAGATTGATCCAAGGGTGGAGATCCTTCTTAGCCTTCTCATTGTAACTACTATTCTTACCGGAAACCAACTCTTCTGGTTCATCTGGGAGGGTGGTTATGATATCTTACATTAGGTGTTTGAAAATGGCATCGAGGTTAAGATATCTCAAGCTTTTTAGATATATTTACTAATATACCCTTTGTTCATTTGTCTTGGGCTTTTGTTCTTGTTGCTTGTCTCAATATGGGTAGTTCTGGAAATGTAATCAAACATCTTCCAATTGCACCATATACGACAATTACGTCCAGAGATAAAAGAAAATTACCCCTTCTATAAAATTATTTATTCTTAGGGTTCGGTGGGGTGGAGGTGGTGAAGAGATCAAGATTCAAACTTAGGCAACCATATGCTAGTTTTTTTGGGTTTATTGAAAAAACCTCATTTGGTTAGCCATAAACTAGCTGATAAGGTAGCTTTTTTCCGGGTTCTTTTCCCACCTTTTTTCCAATTATGCTTATTATATTTTTCCATTTAACTTTTCAACGTATCTTTTAAGGCCGTTTTTACATTGTCATCTAGCTAATCAGCACGACTAGTTTATCAACTAGTTCTTACTGAACACGACTAATTTATCGGCTAACAACTAGCTTTTCAGCCAACAGTTTTCAAATAAATTGACAACATTTTTATTTGATTTACCTGATCCAGAGGGCTTGGACGGTGGAGAATATTTGTTTGCAATTCGTATGCTAATGGTACTTTTCCGGAGGGAATTTTCCTTTGTAGATGCTTTGTATTTGTGGGAGGTAAAAGAAACATTCCTTCCTATCTTCCTACAACCTTCAGCCACCATTCTAGATAAATGACCTCTTTTCCTTTACTTTTTCTTAATTTGCAAAGAATATTTTTCTTTAATCAGGTTATGTGGGCCATGGAGTACAATCCGAACATGTTTGCTGATTATGCTTCAAATGGTTCACATGAAGTTGTAGCTACAAAATTAAGCAAGAAAGTACTTCAACAGTACGGAAAATATGAGCGGAAAAACGTGAAGACTGGACGGACAGACCAAAAAAGTCTTCTTGCTGTTTTCTTGGTTGCGGGTGTTCTAGAGACCAAAAACAAGAAACTCTTGAACGAGGCTAAGGGCCTAGATGATGTTGCGCAGGTTCGTTTTGGATCATATTTGCATTCAAGCTTGTTGGAGTCTCACATCGGCCAGACACAGACTATCAAACCTGTATATATGCGGGTCCCCCTCTCTATAAGGGATCTTTAGAGAAAATTCGAAGGAAATCCGCATATTCGAACATGGTATTAGAGCTTGGGTCTAGCACCATCTAGGCACTCCATACACTGTTTCATCTCCTTTCTTAGTGGCACCTTCTAGCCTCCGTTTGAGGGGGCGTGTTGGAGTCCCACATCGACCATAAAACTTGTATATATATGTGTGTGTATATATATAGGGTCACGTTCAGGGGAAAATGCAAAAAAAGAACTGAGGAACACCCTGGTAACCATCCATCTATATGATATGCACATGTGCGTACAAGTAATTGGTAAGCAATATGTCCAGTATGCACATGTGCATAACGTGCACACATGCATAAAAACCAAGAAACAACTCCAATTACTTGTATGCACATGTGCATACTATCTAGATTAATAGTTACCAGGGTGTTACTCAATGTTCCATTTTTTGGGGGGTTTTCCCGTGAACTCCCTTCCCCCCCCCCCCTTCTAAAATATATATAGACGAAGGATCTAGTGAGAATAGGAGTTAAATTGAGAAGTATAAGAAGGGTTTTGGACCCTTGATCACTTTTAATCTCACCCCCACCTCATGAATTGCGCTTGATACGGGAATTGATCTGGTGCATCTCTTTAGTGTTGATGCGCTTGATATGAGAATTGATCTGGTGCATCTCATTAGTGTTGATCTTTAATTAGGATTGATCTATGGGTGGAGATCCCTTCTCACCATAACTTCCATTCTTACCAGAGCCGAACCCTATATGTATATATCTAGGAACCTCTTCTCTCTCTATAAGGGATCTTTTTAGAGAGAATTCAAAGGGGTTCCACATATCCTAACATGGTATCAGAGTCGGTGTCTAGCATCATCTAGGGACTCGACAAACTCATTCGCCTCCATTCTTGGGGGACCACCTAGCCTATATCTGAGGGGGCGTGTTGGAGTCCAACATTTAGACACGAACTGTACCTCCCTTCTCTCTGTGTTTTAGAGAGAATTCAAAGCATATCTTGGAAAGTTAAAATCATTTTTCGTTCCAGATCATGGGCGACATCACCGGAAGCTTGGATGCTAAGAAAGCGTTGACGGAAGCACTGAAAATTCACAAAAAGTACCTAAACAAGGCAAGCATTACATCTTAACAATTCTCCACTCACACAAATGTCATGCAATTAGAAAAGCTTCGCAAACCACAATTTTATCTCCACTGAAACATCTCCACTCTTAAGGTGGAGGTAAGATCTGTGGTATGATGGACTATGATTTTTGCTGAGAGGGTGCACCTTTAAGGTGGATCAAAAGTCTGCAAAGTTGAGCGATGTGTTTTTAGCCAAATTCTGTAGTTTTCAAGGGATTATTTAAGTTTTTTGGTTGATTTCGATTGTTTTTAAGTTTTTTGATTGATTTGAAGGGACTTTTTCGGTTCTTATGGTTGATTTTGAGAGATTTTTTCGGTTTTTTGGTTGATTTCGAGGGACTTTTTCGGTTTTTTGGTTGATGTTCTAGCGGGTGCACCTTTCATACCCCTAAAAACAATTTACTTGTGAAAATCGGTTGAGCGGGTGCACAGGACCCTGCTTCCCCCCTCAGCTTCTCCCCTGGATCTGTATCTGTGTACATCTTACACCCTCCCCATATCCTACTTCGTGTAGGAATTACTAGGTTCGTTTGGTTACACCAGCTTTTCGAATCTTTATCATATCCGACATTCTTTCTTTGTTACATTTTTCACAAGCCGGGGTCTCCATGGAAACAACCGTTCTATTCTTTGAGTAAAGGTTAGGTCTACTTATATCTTACCCTCCTCATACCCCACCTCAGGTGGGATATATTGGGTTTGGTCTTAGGGGCTGTTTGGTTGGTTTTCGATTATGGATAAAATTGTCTGAGTGAACTAATCTGTCTCTACAGATTGAGGAAGTTTTTGTTTGAGAGAGTTTTTTCATAGATGTAAGAAGCATGTTTTTTAATTGGGAGGGGTAGGTTTGGAAAAAAATGACTTTTTGCATAAAATTCTCCCCTAAAAACTTACAGGATAAGCCACTTTCTATATCATTAAGCTATTACCATACAGTCATGTATAGCTGACCGAATAAGTTGCGAGTGTCATTAAGCTCGTTAACCTGCTAACAAACAAGCCCTTAAACCTTAGCATGGTTTAGAATTCTAATTCTGGGCCACTTTTGCGATTACAGGCGAGGAAAGATGAAAGCTAAGTTACATCTTCATGCTAAAAAGAGTCCAGCCAGCTATGTCAAGAATTCTTTTATCGTAATGTGATTCTCGACCTCTCCGTCCGTTAGATCTTTGGTTGGTGCTACGTTTTCATCGAGTTAGCATACGATAGTGGGACCCACATGTGGGATCATGGTCCCATTGTGTTCGCTAGTAGTGGTTACAGTACCCGTAGATTGGGTTCGCGAGGATCGGGTGTAATACATGTTGCAGCATTTCAAAACTGAATTGAGTGAAGATGGTGTATTGTAAAGGAGTTTGTGTAATTCTTTGTATGGTTGTATCATTATGTTACAGTTTAAATGGATGAATTATGGAAACTGTGGATACTGAAATAGAAGTAAAGTTTGCGTGCATTTTATTATTTACAGATCTATTTTTAGGTGGGATATACTGGTTTTGTTAGTTTTATAGATCTATTTTGGCTGGGATCTACCGGATTTGTTAGTTTTACAGATCTATTTTTGGTTGGGATATTTTGGATTTGTTTGGTTTGATTATTTTTTTGTTTCAGTTGTGTAGGTATAATCGACTTGATTCAATCGTTTACTTATTTTGCTTGTGAGGTAGGCGAACTGAGTTATCAAAACGAATCAAACATAATTTTGTATCGTGTAACAATGAAAAACCTAAAAGTGAAGAAGAGATTTACAAGAAAAATTGAAATGTCCATACGAAAAACCTGAAAGGATAAGAATACCGCCCGGGCCCTGAAGACGGGAACGGGAAAAAAGATTTATATTTACATTGGTCCTGAGGGTCAACGGTGTGCTAGATTTATATTGGTTGCATAACAAAATAAGAACCACAAAAAGGTTAAGAACCATAAGAACCGGTGAACAATATGTTGTTTCACCATGTGAAATATTCAATGTTGTTTCATATTGTGAAATAAAAAAAATACAAGTAAAACGGTTTTACATTGTAAAACAAGTACATTACAAAACAATGTCTTCAATTTTAGCTTTAGATGAAAAAAACATCATGTGAAACATCACAGATTTGTAACTTTATCGTGGTTCTCACATGATTAGCCCCCTTATATCGGGTGAGGACAAGTGAAACTAGACTACAACTTGAGACAGTTATTGGTTGTATAACCTTTTAAAGATTCAGAATATGTTTGAACTGATATTGTTTCAATACTGACTCTGACCCTGAAATCATAAGAAGTTCATCAAATTGTTTGGCAAACTTTGGTAATGGTCATACTTTAAAGTCGAACAGAACTCTTTTAAAACGAATTGCTTATATTTGGGCAACAAAAGTTGATTACTGGCAACCCAAAATGACTCCAAACAGAACATATCTCCAAAGACACCAATATGAGGTGTCACACCCCGCTAAAGCGGAAACACGATATGTAACAGGCAAGCGAGTCACAACAACAATTAATAAATAACACCTTTCAATTTTACAAAATAAAACGAGTTTAATATCATAACCAAAATTTTTGATAAACATTTCTTTTACAAAACTTCCATTTCGAACTTAATCAGTTTTGCCACGAGTATGCTCCCAAGGTACTGCAACTCTTACTTGCTACCTGAAAAGCATAGAACACAAAACGAGTCAACTACAAAGAGTTGGTGAACTCACGGGTTTTCACATGCATAAAACATTTTAATGCATAAACCAATTATTTTGCAAACTTATGCGAATCTTTTGCACTTAATAAATGTAAATCTTCCACGATGTAAAAACTTGAGACGCTACTGAGCCTTACCTGACCAACTTGCCCCATTATTTTACAAACGACCATAAGTAGTCCATACACTTACTTAGGTCCCACAGTTCGTAGATGTACAAATTCAGCGGTGGTCCAAATTCCACATGATTAGACAAGAAAACATAGGTAATGTGCACCCCTTTCTGGGTGGGACTGTCAACACAATAGCGGCTATCCACAATACCATGGCCCGGGGACGTGCCCGAGTTAACGAGTAGCGTTTACGGACGAGGACTTTATTTGGAAAACATACTCCCAAGCACATCAATTTAGCATTTATTTCAAAGTGCAATAACAGTCAATATTTCATGACACAATAAATTTGACTACACAGTTCTTTAGTCCGATGGTATCAAATAAAGCTTGACTAAACAGTTCTCTAGTCCAATGGTTTCAAACAAAACTTGACTAAACAATTCTTTAGTCCAATGGTTTCAAACAAATAACATGCATAGTTTGCTTAATCTCACGCTTTTCCCCCAAAACAATAAACAAAGCATTAAAAGTGGGGCCGTGAGAACTCACAGGTTTAGAGGTGAATATCCAAGATGATGACGACTGAAGCTTTCAAAGCCCGCCCTAACTTCCTAAACAGACCAACAACCAGAACTAAGATCACTTATGGGTTCATGACAAAGATAAAGTCAAGTTGCATCCCATGCAATGCCATCGAATTTTCATAAATTAAAGTTGATATTTTATTATTTATTCTAAAAATAGCCCAAAAAATATATATTAAAAGAACTCGAAATCCTTTACTCAAAAGCTGAATTTTTGGACAGATTATACATTCTATTCCAAATATTTTTGGGTTTTACAAATCACTAAAAGTAGAACCTTCCAAAAGTCGTTTTTAGGTCCACTTTTTAAATCATTCCAAATCATGAGCTAAGCCGACATTTTCCAAATACCAAGAAATTTGAATGGATTTAAGTCCCTCATAAATACCCTACAATCTCAAGTTACTCAACCCCCAAAATAGATTGCACGTTCTACGAGTGACAGTCTTTTGGGGCCTAAACTCATCATTTTTCAAGAATCTTATCACTATTTTCAAGCTAGCAAAATAGGTATTATTTCCAGAAAGAATATTTCCCAATTCCATTGAGTTTTGAAGAAGATATGGTAGATTAAAGATGCATGCAAGAAGACCCTATCATACTCCGAAGTATACCTTTCATGAATAAACTCTACATGCAAAAGATTTTTCCCCTACTTTAGTAAAGATCTGAGAATATGGATCATAAATTATCGTCCATTTGAAGACATTTTCATGTCTGTGACACATAATCTCCCCTCTCATACTTTCTAGAAATTGTTGCAAGATCGAGATGTAGGAGAAGAAGGATAAAAACTTTTAATGATTTGCAAAAGTAAGATAACTAGTATCATACCTTTTTCTTATAATCTTGGGAATCTTCAAGATTGACAGAATTCCTAAGCTTGCTTGATGATGGAATCGACTGAAGGATGGTTGATTTTAGAGAGAGATGAAAGCTTTTCCAAGCTGACAATATTTTGGATAAATGAGAGTTTTTCAAAGAGAGTGGGGTATTTATATGATGATTTTTGAAGAAGGAAGTGGGCTGGCCCCATCAAGGCCCAAACCCAATAAATTTTCTTATTTTTCAAAAATAACAACAAACCCACTATAATTTTACCCAAATATTAATAAAATGACACTATTAAATTCAAAACTCCGTCTTTTAATAAATTATGTGGACATTCAAATGAGACTTTTATATATTTTAATTTTAAAAGTTTATAACATCAACTTTATTTTATTTGGAACGTTTCTAAAATATTTGACATTACACAAGTTAACTTTATCAGTTGCCTGTTGAGGCGTGATCTTTCAAGCTAAACTTTGGGTACTGAGTCAGATGAACTCTAACCACCATGACTAGATCATAATAAATTTATAATTCTAAATATAGGATCTATAATAAAGTGTTAACCTGAGGCTCAGAAATGACCGAATGTCACATGAGGGGACATTTTTGGTTCGCTCAGTAGCCGAGGCTAGCCGCGGGGACGGGATCGAACCCGTAATCTATTTTGTATTTGGCAAAAGTCACTATTTCCTTTTGCCAACTGAGATACACGCTAGAGACGATTTGCTGATATTTACATGAGTAAATTACGATTTCTATCCTTGTGGTTTGCTAATAATTCCATTTTTGTCCTTATGGTCTAGAAATTATAATTTTTGTCCCTATTGCTTGTAATTTATTGTTATTTTCATCCCTAGACTAAATTCCTACCTTCAAGTATAAGAGACCAAAACCGTAGAGAATTGCAAATAGTAAGAATGAAAATAACAATTAATTACAAATTATAGGGACGAAAACTACGATTTTTCAACCACAAGAGCGGAAATCATAATTTTTAACAAGTCATAGGAACTAAAAACGTAATTTACTCTATTTACATATAGATTTTTATCGAACCAAATTGTACATTTAGAAATAAAACAGGGGTGTAAGTGTCAAAATTGGTAAATCAAGGGGATATTTTGAAATTATATCCCTGTTGTCGGTTTCCTAGTGAAGCTATAAGTAGAATTGCTGTTGACTGTAACGAGACTTCCTGAGAATAACATCGCTCATTGAAGGCTAACTTGAAGCTAAACTACCTGCAAGAAAAAGGTTATTGGAATCTTCAGATCTTTGTACTCAATGGTGATCTTGTGTTTGTGATGATTAATCGAATGTGCTCAGATCTACTTCGCGTTTCTTTTTAAATTATTGAAATGTAGTTTCATGATTGATTTAAATCTAGGGTTTATGGATCAGATTTCTCTCTGTGGTTGTATTTCTGTAATGATCTGTTTCGTCTGATATTGCTTTTACTAATTGTGCTCTCCTTGTTGTTCAGCATGCGTCTTACTCAATTATGTAATTCCTTTGGTGATTTAGCTAGATTTAGATGCAATTTCTCTAATTAGCTGAATTGCTGCTTCTATCTTCTTGGACGATTGTAAAATGTGATTGGATGGTTTAAAATTGATATCTAATTATTTCCCGGATTTTCTCAATTAAGGAGCATGGATCGAAAAGTTTCTGATCTGTAACTAGTGGTTGGTTGATCTTGTTACAGTACAGATCTCTGGTGCCGGTAGGAACTTCGATTTTATATTCATGACATTTATGAATTTGATGATGTAACCCTTTAAGCTATCAGCTTTGGTTTTGAAATCTATCAACTTTTTCTCTAGGATTAAGGTCGACTATTTTTATTTTTGTATTATTATTCTCTAATTAGGTGATTATGTGGCTTTGTGGAGGCATTTATTTCAAGCTTGTGTGCTTCTGAAATTCTCAGTTTTTTTGCTTTTTATCTTCAATTATCTACAATTAAAGGAATCAAATTTGAGTGTTTAATCTTATCTAATATCATTTTCTGTTGCAGTAATCTCAATTGTCAAGATGGAAGGGACAGTTTTTACTCCTGCTTTAGAAGGAATGAAACATGTCAAATCTGAAGAAGGAGAAATGCTTTCCAAGCCTTTCCTAGACGTCTGCAAGCAGATATTACCTGTTATAGGTATGCTGCTACTTCATAAGCAAGAAGTTCTTATCTGTTATCACTTATAGGTGGGAACTGTAAATTGGGTAGCTACCAAATTTGGAACATCAAGTATTTGTGTCATAAATCAAATGAATGCATTGATATTTTCAATCTCATAGGAAGAGGCCCACTGAATAGTGTTTTTATCTTAGGGAATGCAGGATACACGGCATTTTAAATTGATCCTGTAAATTCCAAAGTTTATGAAGAAACCCACTCCTGTTTGACCCAGTACAATTTTTTTGGTGAGCACATAAATGATATATATAAGAAACACTAAAAGAATTGATACATGAGGATGAAAAAATTCTCTGTTGGACTGTCCTCATGAACTTCTATGTTTGTTCTGAACTGAGACCTTTTGCTTCTTCATACTCCACCATTCTATTGCCAGTCATGCAAATTGTCAAAGACAATGCAGGGAACATGTCACTTACTGAAGTTGGCTTTATTTCAGTTACATGTCTGTAGGTCAGTTCGTTACAGCGTAAGACAGATCATTTCTGACAATCTGATAAAAGTACATTACCATAGAGCTTTATCTAAGTGCATTTGTCTTACAGGGAAACTTCTATAGGAATGATATTAAGAAGATATGACCAAGACAGAGTGTTAGAATATGAATACAATAGATTAAACATGTCCTCACCTCAAAAGTTCTCTTTTAATAACCGTGGGTGTCCAGTACAGCTTGCGCGCACCTCGACTGATCTCATGGGCCCTGAAGTGAACAGCCATGCAAACCTCCACTGGCCCTAGGCCCTAAGAGGACTTGAACTGGTGACTCGTGGAGCTACCCCCAAGGGTTAATCACCTCAAATGTTGTTGATGTGACATTGGACCTGTCTATGTTGGTTTTCATGCATTTTCTCTTGCATGCTGAAAATTGCTTTCAGGATGTAGCAACTTACATTATAAGTTTCTTATCTGATGCTAGACAAATTCGGAGCAGCCATGGCACTTGTCAAAACTGATGTTGGTGGTAATATAACAGTAAGGGCTCATCCTATCCCTTCATTTTGATGGAAGATTATTTTTCAATTCATGAATTTGCATTAATTTTGTATATATGTGAATGAATATCTGCATTATTTTTCAATTCAATTCAAGAAAGTTTGCTGTCTGGTCGGGACTCCAGTCTATTTATTATTATCTTACTGATTGTTTGAACTTTTCTTTCTAATTACCATATTCCCATTATTTCTATCTAACTTTTTCCTAGAAAAATGATACCCCTTTAACGAGGGACAATAACTGTTGGTTTTTGGCTGATTTTATCCACCCCTGTGGCAAACATCAAACATGCATATCCTTTTTCTGATAAGGTGACATGATGTTCTTGGTTATCCATCTGTTATTTGAGCTTATTTTGTGTGGCATTTACTGGGTGCATATGGTTTGGTTTGGTTTTTTCTCATTCGAGTTTATTTTAATTCTAGCAGTTTATTTCCTCCACTTACATATAACCCAACACTTGTTTGTTTCAGCTTAGTTTATATTTTAAACTTAACTAAGGCGTTTATATTCATCTCTTCCTTCAGAGGCTGGAGAACAAATATCTGTCCAACCCAGCAGAATTTCAGAACCTATACAATATGGTTCGTGTGGAGGTTGAAGCCAAGAAAGCAGAGGGTTCATCCAGTTGCACCAACGGTCTTCTGTGGCTAACTAGGTGTGGATGATCACACCTGTACCCTCACACAGTTCTTAACACAAGTAATTAAATTCGAAACAACCTTCATGCTCAGAAGTTGTATGTTTATCAGGGCAATGGATTTCATAGTAGAATTATTCCGTAACTTAATGGAGCATGCTGATTGGACCATGTCACAAGTTTGTACTGAAGCCTACACCAAGACACTGAAGAAATACCATGGCTGGTTAGCCAGTTCAACTTTCACGGTAGGCATTTAGTGCTTCACATTAAATCTGTGATGTGGGGACCTGTAGCTAGCGTGGTTGGGCAGAAGGGAGTTGGACAGGTTGGGGGTAGAGGGCGGGGAGTTCAGGCTAATGATGTGTTTTTGCGTTACTTGCTCTGTGTGTTTTCTGGCTTGCTTGAGTTGTGTGAGTTCCACTTTCCATAGCTTGTGTATGTTTTTAATGTACCTACTCACTATCTTTTTTCTTATTTTTCTCGTTCTTATGCACCATGTGGTAGTCTTTGTTCCTTTTACCGGTTTGCTCCACTCTTGCACTAGTCGGGGGTCGAGGGTCTTCACAAGAACAACCTCACTACTCTTTGAGGGTAGAGGTCCAGTCTGCGTACATCTCCCCCCGACCCCACCCCTATTTCAAGTGGATTTACTGGCTCAGTTTGGTTTGGTTTTATTTTTACATTAAAAATATGATGATAGAGTTTGTCACCTTTGAAACATATACGTAAGCTCTTCTTGGTAGTTTCAGTTCCTTTTTTCGTGGTTAAAAACTCTTTATAATTGTAAAAACAATGGGTTCCAATGTTTTGATGAATATTTGCAAAGTGATCTTAAATGTAACAGAAACATCAATGCAAAAACTAAGGGGGCGCTTGGTTCCTTTTAAGTAATGGGTTTCAACCCAAAGATATGAACATGTTGGAGTTGGATGGATAGTGAAAGCCGTAGGGTAACAAAACATAAATCAAGCTAAAATTGGATTGCAGACTGTTATACATACATAATACCAACCTTGTACCTTCTTTCTATACATAAGCTGAATCAAGTACTTCTTTTGTACACAATTCCATTATTATACTTTAAATTCTTTAAACTTTTATCCTCTATTTCTCTTGCTTCCAAATCAATTGCTTGTTCATTATCCCAAACTGGATTCACAGGTTGCAATGAAGCTTGCTCCAGATAGGAAGAAGTTCATGGATGTTGTGGGTGAGAAGGGTGACATCAATTCTGATATAGAAAAATTCTGTGCAACTTTCACACCTCTTCTCCAGGAGAACCATAAGTTCTTGGTGAGATCATCTCATAAAAAGCTTCCTGTTTTCATTGATTCATGTTTAGTCCATGTGTGAGATGATTTTTGCCCTAAATTAACTTCCGTGATCATTTCTTATGATTTTATTATGCAGGCTAGCGTTGGTGTGGATCATATGAAAGCATAGTAGTGACCAATAGTTTATCAGTGCACTTGTTAAACCTCATGGAGGATGTTATATGAACAAGAAACAATGCTCTTATATTTGCCACCCCCCGGGCGGGGGGTGGGTGACGCTTTCTTTTCGATAATCTGTTAAACTCATAATCAACATCTATATATTATTTTTGGTTGGTATTTTGATACACATCGGAAATTGGTAATGGAAGGTTGTTGGTTGGACCTCGAATGTGTACGAAGTTGTTGCTACATGAAAAGATATGAATATAATTGCTATCTTGTCAATTGAAATTTAGTGGCTGTTTAGCAAACTTTAACCGGATAAGCGCTTACCAAGTCACTTACCTTTCGAATGAAAACATGACAAGGACCGAAAATCTTACCCGGTTGGTGACTCTTACCTAGTTAGTGCTTACCGTGTAAGAGACGCTTACCAACAATCTTACTATGTCAGTTTGATGACCAAGAATCTTATCCGATAAGATAAGTAAGGGTGGTGACTCTTACCTGGTTACGAACACATAATGGGTGAGCGCTAACCGGGTGGGTCAGCACTAATCACTGACCAAGTAAGAGTCCCTCCCTTAGCTTACTAGGTCAACATCATGAACCAGTAAGAGGGGCTTGGTAAACGGCAGCATCTCTGGCCGGGTAAGCGGCTGTTACCCGGTAAGAGACGGTAAGCAGGTAGTAAACAACCCCTTATCAAATTTCTGGTACACTAGTGCTTGGTATGTTCATTAAGCAGGTAATGCAGATTCTTCTACCGAGTACAGGGTTCAAGGTTGGATTTGAATTCATCTGGCCTTTGGCCTACAAGTAAGCTGCCCTTAATGGAAAAGTCCAACCATAGATGCACAAGGTACAACCCAAGGATAAAGGTCATTCTCTCTCCATCTCTCCATCTCTCCATCTCAACCACCTCTCCTTTACATCTAAATTTTGTCCACTAGTTTAAATTGGTAGAAATAAGATCTAAGGTGATGTTTTATGCTTCATACATGCATACATTCCCAAATTCTCCCTATTCCCTCTCTCTCTCTCTCTCACTTCCTTTTTGTGGATTTCTTCTTTTATTATCTCTAGCTGTCTCTTTCCTTCTTTGTGTTCCCCCACCCTCAATTCTTCTGTCTCAATCTATTTGGTTATATTTTATCTTAGTTTTTTTCTCAATATTGTATGGGGTCAGCTGACCCCATCCCAATCCAGAGCATAACTTTTTCAATGATGGGTACTCATAAGGTGAAAGGCCTTCTTAAAGGCCTCAGATATATCTCTCAAGTTTTTGGTCAGCCTCTTTCTTCCCTTTTATGTTTTAATGTTCGTTTAGATGTGTACGCTAATTAAGAGTTTGTTGGGTCGTGCAGATGACGACAGCAAAAATCAAGAAATACAGATTGGTGCTCCGACAGACGTGAAGCATTTGGCTCATGTCGGATGTGATGGACCAGTCCAGGATTCTCCCAGCTGGGTATGTTTAATGTTTCCTTTCTTCCTTTATTCATCTCCATGGATAAAAATTTGTTGTCCCCAAATCCCATCTCCGTTGCTGTCCCACCAATCATGTGATGCCATATCAGTTGACGAGAGAGAATTATAAGATGGATTTTATTAAATTAACAGGGGATTTGGGGACAACAGATTTTTTATTTGGTGTTCTTCGTCTAAATGATTTGGTTCTATGATTAAAATGTTATGTATTTTTATCCTTTTTTTCTTATTCTGGGTGCAGATGAGGGAGTTTGGTTCACCAGCACAATGTCAATCTGCATCGAGGGACGAAGCCCCAAGCGATGGCCCTGATTGGGCTTCCGAAGGTTAGAATTATTCAAACTTCTTTGATGCCTGAATCAATTAATGCTAAAATAAAAAATCGGATATCCATGTCATCAAATATTTCATAAAATTGTAAACAGGTATCCATGTCATCAATATTGTCAAAACCCAAAATAAGAAACTTTGTTACATTGGTGGACTAAAAGTTTGTCATACTAAATAGGAACTAAACCAAATTTTGTTACATTTTGCCTTTATGATGTACGTCTACATGTGGAGAATGGAAAATGATGTTATATTAACACCATTTGTGTATTCCTTGTTTCTTTTTTGGGTAAATTGCCTGAAAATGCAACATACTTTTGTTTGACTCCTATTTTCTCGAGCCTACATTCAAAACCGTTGTTTTGGTACCTCATATTTAGACCAAAGTATAGGAATCAGATCAAAGTACGTCATGCATTCTTAAGATATAAGCTAGGTACTCAAAGTGTTTGAGATGTTATATTTGAGTTGCCAAATTGTAGGTTTTGGAAGTACGTCAGATAAAATAGAAATTGAAGCAACCTACGTTGCATTTTCATGCAATTTGCCCTATTTACCAATCGTCCGACTAGAGTTTTCGAATTCAGCTTGGTGCCCATATAAATTGCAAAAAGATGTAGAGCTAGCAGTTCGTAATTCCAATCATGATCGTGTTTATTCAAATCATTGTTGCAGATTCAAGCCACCGGATATCTCGAAGAGAAAAACTAAAACACCGACATCGCCGCCATCGATCAGTGGAAAATGCTCTGGACCCTGATTCCCGAAATAAAGACTCGCCAGACAGATCAAGGCAGCCTAGAAGACGCCACACCAAGACTTCGTACTCCGAACGCCGACATTCCGATGACCTGGGCGAAGGGGACGAATCACCAACTAGAAAGCTACCAGAAATCCCAAGAAGGACTCGGAAAAAGAAACCAAAGGAGGAATCAGATGGTGGGTTATCAACTTCATCGAGGTCTAAAGCAGACGAGATAGGCTCCTTCGATGCAGATTAATGGCATGAAAAAAGGTATTTGTTTGATTTGTCGGTTTAGCTAGTCACTGTGTTTTTTCTTTGTAACTGTGGGTGTCCGGGACAGTTTGTGCACACCTCGACTAATTCCATGGGACTCTGGAGATAATAGACAGTGAACCCAAGCCCTAAGGCCTTATTTTTGCTTATATGAAACATGGAAAAAGGTTTCATGGAAGCTTGTACAATTTAACCATAATGTTGGTTATTTGTAACTTAGTTTTGTAACAAATTTATTGTGTTCTTTTTGCCATTTATATTTTACCTACAATTCTTCTTTTATGACCAATTCAACCAACTCAACTTTTACCCTCATTTTGCAACAAAATTTGTACCCTTTTATGCTACATATTTTGCATTCTAAAATCTACAAATTTAATCGGAGAAGGGACTGGACGGTCGAGATTGAGTTATACTAGTGTATATATACATAGAGTGAGGTTTGTGAAAACCTCAAGAAAATGAAAAGCTGTTTAGATTAATTGATGTGATTAAAGAGGTTGTTACAACTTTATTTTTAAATTAAAAAAATATCCCACTTTCTGTTCTTTAAATCGAAAAAATACGAAATATGATTAATGTTCGAACGAAACAAATGACACTAGAAAAAACAATCATATTTTTCTCATCAACCTGACATTCATATTCATATACTTTTTCATCAGTTTTTTGTGGTTTTACCATTTTCTATTTACTTAGCGTCTTCCCTTAACCTGACCCTACATGCATATATTAAATAAAAATAAAAAATTAATCGTGCTCGAATTAGGGGCCACCCCCGAAACCGACCTCGCTTCGAGTATGAAAATAAATCCTCGTTCCCTCCCTGTTACATACCAAACCGGAGAATCCCCGCCCCATGGGCAACCCGCCTCTACGGGTAAAATTTTCATCTCTACTACAGATATACGCAATTATCCAAGAATAAATCACTAGAACTGGAATGAGTTTGTCACGACGTAATAAACACGATTTTAATCTACTTGGGTCCTTAAAAAGAACTATAACGACATAACGTATCTACTTTTGTTCAAAGTAAACTTTCGAACGAATAATATGATAAGGTGGATATATTTGTTGGATCACACAACACTGTCTTTTTCACTTTTCTCGATTTCACCTGAGAAACGTAATTCTTCGTTTTCACAAGAATCAGTTATTTTACCTTATACGAGAAACATGACTGTTTTTTGTAAGATTCGGTTTTTTATTTTATCTTCCATAATATAAAATAAAAACAAAGAACTAAACAAATATTAAATAACTTTTTTGAAACAAATTTATGTCAAATAAATAAATAGCATAACAACAAATATCAAAGAATCCAAAATTCATTTTCTACAAAAATCATAATATATATAAAATGGTGAAATGTGCGAAAGAGCAACCTGTTTTTATAAATTTCGTTATTATAGCATTGGACTTTTAGTTTTTCTTATTACAATAATGTACTTTCAAAATATTTTTTATTAGTGCATCGTACTTTCAAAAATTTATCCGTTTATAGCATTGAGTAACCTTTTTAAATTAAATTTACCTCTTATACCAGATTTCATTGTCACTTTATCGTCCACGTAGGCTGTCTATATGTACGATATTGGTGACATGACATTTCTTATTATAGTATTGTACTTTCAAAGTTTCTTTATTATAACATCACCAATTTATATTACAACAATTGTACTTTTAGTTTTAATATTTTTATCATTTAAACATTGTAAATTTAATCAAATATGTTTACACAAAAACTATAATATCAGAAATTAAACATGTTTACAAAATATCACTATTTCACGTATAAAAATATTAATAAAAAATACTCGTTTTTCGAGTTCATCGTAAATTTCATGACTTACTTTGTAATGCCAAAAACTGAACAAGTGGAACATCTTTAAAAAAAAACTCATCCTATTCACATTCTTCTAACAATGATATTTAATCAAGTGGAACCGTCTTTTCATAACTATTACTTTCTCCTTCTTTCTCAACAGTATTTTTTTCGTAGGTTGTTCAAAGTTATCTTTTCACTTGGCCTCCTTTTTTTCGGGATGAACTTTGGTCGTGATTTCACTTGAGATCGTTCATGATCAAATTAGTGATCAAATTAGTATGCAATTAATATATAAAATTAGTATAAACTCACAGATTTCATATTACCTTTTTAACACCCCTTTGTGAACCCATTCTGACTCGTATACCCAATACTATAACGGGTAAATTTTTAAAAGTACGATGTCCTAATAAAATATATTTTGAAAGTATATTGTTGTAATAAGAAAAACTGAAAGTATAATATTATACTAATTTTTTTTTTTGTAAAAGTAGATTGCTATTTCGTGCATTTCACATGTGTAACAGGTTATCCTATGTAGCTTTCGTGTCATTTTAAGTTTGACACGTCAACAAAGAAAAACCTATTAAAAAAGTAACATGTTATCCAATGTTATAACAGGTAAAATTTTAAAAGTACAATCCTCAAATAAAAAAATATTTTAAAAATATATTGTTATAATAAAAACACTGAAAATACAATGCTATAATTATTATTTTTATAAAAATAAATTACTATCTCGTACATTTTTAACTCCATAAATCAACGTGATAAAGTCAACAATCCTTCTTTTAGATCATTATTCGCTATCTAAAAATTATTCAGTTAAAAAGGAATTAAAAAGTAGAGTAAACTACAATTTTTCATATTCCAAATTTAATGAAATCTTGAAAAATGGAATATAATTTTTAATTAATATAAAAATATTGTTTTATAATTTTTATTTTTATTTAAAAATGGTTCCTCACACCAGAAGTTATGTAAACCTCAAAAGCAAAACTTGTAATTTACTCTAAAAGTACCATCTTGATAATAAAAATCACATGTCAACATCTTTAAATATGAAATATTTTAGATTTTTTATATTTAAAACCCATTATAAAAAAGCTGATATTTTGGTCTGGACCAGACCACGATGGTATCAAGCCAGACCAACTGTCAATTTGTAACTGGTCCAAAGCTTTTTGGAGGAGGACTGGTTTTTTTATGATTAGACAAAGTCTGTATAGGGGAAAAGATCAAGGGGTTGTTTATGAAAAGCGTATCGGGTAAGTGACTACTGAGCGTCATTTACCTTAACAGATGAGCATACCAAGAATCAAGAATCTTGTCTGGTAACGAGGAAGAAGACTCTTACCCAATATGAACTTACAAGGCAAAAAAGCTTACAAACAATCTATTTTGATGGATGAGAATGTTATCCGATAAGGGAAGTAAGATGATAACTTTTCCTGGTAAATGCTTACTCAATGAAACAATCCTCACGATTTGTGGAAAAGAACACTTTCTGTCTCTGTAGTTTTGAAACTACAAGATGGTTATTGTTGTTTGCAAAAACGTCTAAATTTGGTTCTTCCTTCGAACTGATGTCAGAACTTTTCGTTAAATGAGGGGCAATTTCGTCATTTTATCGGGTTTTTTTTTTATCTTTTACCCAATCAAAGACCACAAAGAATCAAAATCACAAAATCGATTTTGAATAAGTAAAACACAAAAAATTCGATAAAAGAACAAAAATTGTCTTTCATTTAACGAATTTTTTTAATAGCCTCTTTTTCCTATTCAAAGTTCAGCCCTTTGTCTCTATGTCTTCACATCGAGAATTAGAAGGAACCAAATTCGAACATTTTTCTAAAACTATAATGGTAATTTTGTAATTTCGAAAAAACCAAATTCGAACATTTTTCGATAGGCTCGGTGTTTTTTAAGACTGCTTTTGATCAGACTATTAACGGGACAAGATTTTTAGGACCCTTTCTAATCCGGTCTTTGCCCATCTCTACTTATTACATAATAATTAACTGGTAAAATTCTAATAATTACAAACAAACCAATCCCCAATTGAGTTACAGCATTTTCAACAGGATCTCCGAAATGTAGAATCAAAAGTCAAAATTTTAATCAAAAAAATTATATTCATCTGTAACAAAAAAAAAAAAAAAAAAACAGAGAATCCCTTAAAGCAAAAAAGAATAAAAATCCATTTTCTAAAAGATCTGGCTTTCGTGCTTTGGTGTATCAATTGCGTCCATTCCTCTCGTTAGACTGTTTGTAGCACTCATAGCTACAGAAGTCTTTTCTTGTAGATGGTACAGTTATAGGTTTTTCATGATTTATTCTTCCATTCCTCAAAGTCTTCATTTTATATGATCATTCAGAGCATCTGCAACAACTTTTTTAAAATAGAAAAAGAATGAGTTTTTGTTCTGCAAAATGCTCCAACAGCTTTTCTATCTTGTTATCTAAAATAGAGAATTATGGAGAAAACTCTAAATATAGAATATCTCTAAAACTCTAAAGAGAGAAGAGAGAAATATGTTTTTTTTTATTTAATACACCAATTAGAGTTGAATTAATATCATTTTATGTAAAGTTTTTTTTTTTAAATGTATTGGGATAAAAAATTATAGTATGTTTAAATAATACTAGAAGGTACTCGTGTAATGCAGTGAGATACATCTCGATTTCAATGTTTCGTTTTGTTTTTTTGTCTCTGTCAATATAATACAGTTTTATGTGGTTTTCAGATAAAGCAATAATGTTTTTATTTTTAAATAAAATATAAATTTAAATATATCATAAAATTATTAGTGTCAAATTAACTATTTAAAAGTTATTGGTTTTTATGTTATTTAATTCAATTTTTTTTATTATAATTTAATTTAAGTTTAATAACAAAAGAATTTATTTTTAGTTTAACAAAATAATCTTTTATAAAAATAATAATTAAGTATTCTGTTAGAACTCAATTATTATCTTAACTATATTTTATATTTTTATATTTAAGATAAGATGTTTATTCAGTATTTGATTATGTTTAACTGCAATTAGTTATATGAACTTAAGAATGAAGTTTTAATAAATTGTATTTATGCACAATTTAGTTGTAATATTAAATTTTAAATAATATGCATCAATAAACAATACTTCACATATAAAAATGGTTTTTAAAAGTTTTTATTAAATACTAAACAATATAGTATAGATATAAATAATTAATGATAAAAAAATCTTTAAAATAAAGAATTGATTAAGAGACAACTTCTGAATCGTTAAAAGATGAATCTTGTTTGACAAAAAAAAAATTGTCTTTTAATGGTTTTAAAACCCTCTGAATGATTTTGTATCATGAATCTCCCTTAACCATTAAGAGACTTAATTTCATTGTACATAATTAACAAAGAATTATATTTTATTTTGTACTATATCATAATAATCTTTTAATTATTCTAATCACTTAATTATTTTATACCAAACCATTCAGTAATTGACCAACAACGGCTAGATATAGTTTATTTTAGTGATTTGACTGTTGATTATCTCCATCATTTTTTAGATGATATTAATGCATAGAATTTGGTGTTCAATTTGTTAGTATTAAGGTTTGAATGATGGTCAACTTTTTAAAACAAGATCTGTTTTGGAATTTTGATTTTGTAGATTCTGACGTAAAGAAGGATTAGATGCTATTCCATCGTTACAATGCAATCTCATTCTCATCTCCTTTTTGAAACCGTTCAATTACGCGGGTTTTGTTCCGATCGTCAATATACACACGCTTTCCACGAACCCTAGATCAAATTCTTCACCTGATCTTTCCAAATTTTCTATCTGATGGCTATGGCAGGTTTGTATAGGAGGGTTCTTCCATCTCCTCCTGCTATCGATTTCTCTTCTTCCGAAGGAAAGGTTGGTTTATAGTTTTCTGTTCAATCTGTTTTACCCCTTTTAGTTGTTCTTTCGATCGTCCGAATTTGATATGTGGGTTTCGATTTGATTCTAAAATGGTTCAATGTTGATCAAATTGGTGGATTTTATGATGATAATGGCATGAATTTGTTTACAGTACTTCTTGATAGCCAAAAACTGAGCTACATTCTTAACTTAGAGACATCAAATGGATTAGTTTTCGACTTCAAAATTGGGATAATTTTAGTATTCCCATTGCTGATTGCTTCTAACTTCATAACAAGTGGTATCAGTGAACACAATAGATGTTAACTTGGAGAAGATAGCAATTGTGATGGATGGCCCTTTTTAATCTCATAAAGTAGTTGTGTTATAATATTTATGTGTGCATTGGTTGTGAATTTGCAGCAATTGTTCATAGAAGCTATTCAAGGTGGAACCATGGAAGGGTTTTTTAAGTTGATCTCTAATTTTCAGACACAATCAGAACCTGCATACTGTGGATTGGCTACTTTAGCCATGATCTTGAATGCACTTTCTATTGATCCCGGGAGAAAATGGAAAGGTAACTTGTACCCTTGATCATAATGCAATTTAGTAGTTAATAATATAGGGTCAACTTCAAGGGCAAACCGCAAAAAAATGAAAAAATGAGGAACACCCCGGTAACCATTCATCTATGCACACATGTGCATACAAGTATATTATAAACAATTTTTTCGGTATGCACATGTGCATAACATGCAGACGTGCACAAAAGACCGCTCCAATTACTTGTATGCACATGCGCATAACATGCAGATGTGCACAAAAGACAACTTCAATTACTTGTATGCACATGTGCATACCGTCTAGATGAATGGTTACTCGGGTTTTTATTTTTTGGGGGTTTTCCCCTGAGCCTCCCTCTAATAATATATATATATATATGTGTGTGTGTGTGTCTGTGTGTGTGTCTGTGTGTGTGTCTGTGTGTATGTATAATATTGTTTTTCATCATAGCATCAACATTCTGGTCCGAAATCTTCTTTAGCAAACCGTTTCCAAAATCTTGGCATTTGCAGATCCAATTGCTGTTTGAGTATGGGTATTAGGCCATGTTTGATGACCATAGGCTAGCTTATTTTTTGAGCTTATTAAAAAAGCACTGTTTGGTTATGTATAAGCTAGGTTCCTAAAGTAGCGTTTCAATAAGGTCTGGGGGGATTGTTTCCACTTTTTTCCAATTATGTCTCTCGTATTTTTCCAATTAATTTTTCAACAGGTCCTTTTAGGTCATTTTACATTGTCATTTAACTTATCAACTATCTTTTACCGGCTAACAACTAGTTTATCAGCTAGTTTCCCATAATAGCCTTGGTATGCGACTGTTTAAAAAGGGATTATGCTGTCCATAGAGGTTGTTCTTTGCACTTCACTTCAGTCTTTAACATACGGGTTTTACAGTTCTATGATGTGTCAGTTGTCAATCTCATGATACCAAACCAAATTAGCCGGTATATCCCACACAGAGGCGGGGTCCTGCCCCAGGTGAGATGTACATAGACCTGACCTCTACCCTAAAGAGTAAAGAGGCTGTTTTTGTGACAACCCCCTGGCTCATGACAACTTTTTTTCATTTGCTGTTATTTACAGGTCCATGGAGGTGGTTCGATGAATCGATGCTAGACTGCTGTGAGCCTTTGGAAAAGATTAAAGCCGAAGGCATTTCCTTTGGGAAGGTTGTGTGCTTGGCTCACTGTGCTGGAGCAAAAGTCGAAGCTTTTCGCACAAATCAAAGCAATCTTGATGATTTCCGAAGGCATGTGATCGCATGCTCCACTTCTGATGATTGTCATGTGATCTCATCATATAACAGAGGGACTTTTAAACAGGCTAGTTTTAAGCTCTAACGTTTCTTTATTTTTACTCCAATTGTGTTATATATCATTTTTATATTATAGAGTCTGTTGTTCGAACGCCAAAAAGTGTCCTATCAACTTATTGTAACACCTTTACATAGAATGCACAATTGTTTGGTTCTATAAATTCTAGTCCTAATAAGCAGTCTATTTAGGACAGTTGGAGCTTGTTTGTTAGCAGTTTAATGAACTTAATGGGACTCACAGCTTATTCGGTCAGCTATGCATGACCGTTTGGTCGTGGCTTAATGATATAGATTGTAGAAAGTGGCTTATTTAGTAAGCTACTAGGGGGAGCTTTATGCAGAAAACCAAGTTTTTTCCAACCTGCCCCTCTTATTAAGAAACTAGCTCATTCCATACATGAAAGAATCTTCCCAAACAAAAACCTTCCCAATCTTATACAAAGATTTATACAGACATATTGATCCACACATACAACTTATCGATACAGGACTTAATGGAAAACCAACCAAACAGCCCCTTACACTTATTTGGTGTCCTATAAAGCCAATTTTGTTGTTGTAATGTCTCATGAAAGTGTTTTTCTTAATTTTATTTATAGTGCAGACAGGTAGTGGACATTTTTCACCTATCGGTGGCTATCATGCCAAAAGGGACATGGTGTTAATTTTGGATGTTGCGCGCTTTAAGTATCCTCCTCATTGGGTTCCACTTACACTCCTGTGGGAAGCCATGGATACCTTTGATCAAGCAAGTGGATTTCGTAGAGGGTAAATTTGACGCAAAATTTTCTTTCTCACAGTGAATTATGTGTTGCAACGTGTGTAGACACTAGATAGGGTGTTCCTTAACCAAACCAAACGAACCTAGTATATCCCACCTTAGAGGAGGGTAAGATGTACACAGACCTGACCTCGATCTCAAAATTTGAGCATCATTTTCCGTGAAGACCCACGGTTTGTGAAAAGTGTAACAAAGTGGTTTTTTCTTGCGTTTCTACTGATATTTTATTAGCTTTCTCTTGGTTTGTGCTCGTGATTAATTTTTTATCCATTGCAGATTCATGCTAATATCCAGGCTTCACCGGTCACCGGCTCTACTTTATACCCTGGTATGCACATGTCATTAATATCTCAAGCAGCGATTTACCTGTTTTACTATCTGATTACATGGTATTTTTGCTAGAATTTTACACAACTCCAAAGAATACTCCGGGATCGTATATATGCATTTATCACTGGTAAGATTAGAATTAGTTAGCAGTGGCGGACCTATGAAGGCTTGAGTGGGCTCCCATGCACCTGCTCAACTGATTTTCACAAGTAGATTTTTATGGGGTGTGTGAAAGGTGCACCCACTTAACTTCTAGGGGTGCTCAGGGATATTAGAAAATCCAAGGAACATCGATCAAAAAACCAAAAAAGTCCCTCGAAATCAACCAAAAAAACAAAAAAGTCTATTGAAATCAACTAAAAAAGTAGAAAAATCCAAAGAAATCAACCAAAAAACTTTTAAAAAATCCCTCGAAACAATGAATTCGGTTGAAAACACATCGGGCGACTTTGCGGGCCTTTTGTCCACCTTAAGCATGGACCCGTTCAGCAAAACTTTTGGGTCCACGATGTTAACCCTTGAGGTAGAGGAAAGGTCTGCATACATTTTTTAGGGTTATTTAGCTAAATGACCTCCCGACAAGTGTCTTTTAAAACCATGACCTTCTTATAGGTTTCTAGGCATTTTTGTGTATGGAAGTGGCATTCTTTAGTTAAGCAGTTGCATTCTTAAACCTGTCAGAAAGGTTATGGATTAAAAAGAAAACCCGTTAGGTCATGACTTACATTTTACCCTCCCTAGACCCTATAATTTTACGTTATTGAGATCCATATTCACAATGCATGAAATGGGAGCTCAGTGTTATTTTGGTGAATTTTGTTGCAGAGTTGTAAGCATGAGAGCTGGATCAAGATTGCAAAGTATTTGGTTGAAGATGTTCCAACATTGTTAAGTTGTAAGGATGTAAAAGATGTGAAGGATGTTCTCTCGATCGTTTTCAATTCTCTCCCATCAAAGTTTCTTGAATTTATCAAGTGGGTAGCGGAAGTTAGGCAACGAGAAGATGGTGGTCAAAGTCTAAGTTCCGAAGAGAAAGAAAGGCTTGCCGTCAAGGTATCTTGTATAATCTTGAACTAACAAAACACCACCACCATGATACTCACTTCACAAGTGATTTAGATAAACTGTGGTTTGTTTTCTATGTTGAAACAAACGGTCAAAGTGACGCTAAACAGTCTGTAACGGCAAAAATGACATTTTATCCTTTGATTTGGATAAATTGTTTTTCTTTTCAAACGAACAGTCTGAATCGCAAAAATGACGAAATGTTACCCCTTAGTTTAGATAAATTGTTTGTTTTTTGTGCTGAATAAACGGTCTAAATGGAGAATTGACCATTTTACCCCTAAATTTAGACAAATTGTTGTTTTTTCAATAAACAGTTTTAATGGCAAAAATGACCATTCTACCCTTTAGTTTAGATGAATTGTTGTTTTATTTCAATAACCGTCTGAAAGGCAAAAATGACCAAAATTTACCCCAGTTTAGATAAATTGTTTTTTTATGTGCTAAATAAATAGTCTAAATGGCAAAAATGACTATTTTACCCCTTGGTTTAGATATATTGTTTGTTTTTTGTGCTAAATAAATAGCGAAATGGCAAAAATGACTATTTTACACCTAAGTTTAGATATATTGGTTGTTTTTTTGTGCTAAATAAATAGTCTAAATGGCAAAAATAACTATTTTACCCCAAATTGTTTTTTTCTTTCCCAATAAAACAGTCTGATTGATAATCAACCGTCTGAATGGCAAAATTGATGATTTTACCTCTCAATCTTGACTCAGTGCTGATATAATATTATGTGTTGCTATGTGTAGGAAGAGATCTTGAAACAAGTACAAGAGATTCGTCTATATAAGCACGTGACGGATTTCCTGTTTACTGGGAACTCGGGCTCATGCAAAGAATCTTGTTTAACCAATATCGCAGATAGCATATGTTGCCAGGGTGCAGGATTCTTGGAAGGAAACAACGGATCCGCCAAAGGATTTTGCTGCCGAGAAACATGTGTGAATTGCATAAAGGCCAATGGAGACACATCCGTTACAGTCGTCTCAGGGATGGTGACCAATGGCACCGGCATTCAACAAGTGGACGTGCTTGTCCCTTCTTCATCTTCAAAAACCTCGGGGGCGTCCAACAGCTATGGACTAAGTGGTTGCATTGGGATGCACCCGGCAAGCAATGACGTTCTCACGGTGCTTTTATTAGCATTGCCGCCACAAACTTGGTTCGGGATCAAAGACGAGAAGCTTTTGCAGGAAATGAGTAGCCTTGTTTCTATAGACAACCTTCCTACTTTGCTTCAAGAAGAGGTGCGATCCACTTATGCTTTGTACATTATTAGTTTTGATTAGCATACAAGAATTATCTTGTCATAAGGTCTTCACAGAAACAATCTTTTTACCCTTTGGGGTAAAGAAAAGATCTGTGTACATCCTACCTTCCAGACCCTACCCCGGGGTTTATTTGGTTTGGTTACATGAAGTAATCCTGTTTGGGGATCTTCATGGAAAGAGTCTTTTTACCTTTTAAGGTAAAGGAAACGTTTGCGTACATCCTACCTCCCAGGCCCTACCTCTTAATGAGATTTTCTGGGTTTATTTGGTTTGGTTACATGAAGTAATTCTGGTTTGAGGATCTTCATGGAAACAGTCTTTTTACCCTGTAGAGTAAAGGAAAGATCTGCTTACACCCTTACCTCTAAATGAGATTTACTGGGTTTATTTGGTTTGGTTACGTGAAATAATCCCATCTAGGGATCTTCATGCAAATAGTCCCCTTTTGGGTAAAGGAAACATATGCATACATTTTATCTCTGCTTGAGATCTATTGGGTTTATTTGGTTTGGTTACATGAATAATCCCATTTGGGTATAAGTCTCTTTACCCCTTGGGGTAGAAGAAGGCGTGTGTACATCCTCCCCTCCCCTTCAAGGGCCCCAAGACCCTACTTTCGAGTGGGATTTACTCGATCAATTTACCTTGGTCATTACTATCAAGGAGAAAGAANCCCCCCCGGCGTGGGGACCGTATGTCTTTATGAGATTTACTGAGTTTGTTTGGTTTGTTTTACATGAATGGTCGCATGAAATTTGAAATTTGCAAGAAATTTCATTGTCACTTGATGCCTTGCTATTATCGTGCATTTTCTGGTATGAATACGCATCAAATATTGCAGATTATGCACTTGCGTGGTCAACTCTACATTCTCAAGCGATGCAAGGATGATGAGGCAGAGGAAGATTTTGGCGCGCCACTTTTCTAGCGTAGTTTTTGATAGAGGTACTCTTGATGCCGATTTTTCGTGTATACTACTCAATTGTGTACAGAATATTGTTATCGAGACCGGCTAGAGGTGCCTATTAAGAATGTAACATTTTCTTGTAGGTTATGTAACAATTCAAAAACTTTTATATAGAAAAACCATCATCTTTGTGTTTTAGGCTAAATATCAAGAAACTATTTCGTACAACTTACTCTTCTTAGACCCTACTCAACGTGGGATTCACGGTGCTCGTTTGGTTTGCTTTTGTTAGAATATTTGGAACCCTTTTGAACTTCCCTCAGAAGTGCCTGTAGAGGTGGGGTTACTACATATATATATATATATATATATATATATATATATATATATATATATATATATAGGTTTTGATGGTTTGTGTCTGGTTGATGTGAAACTCCAACACGTCTCTAAAATGGAGCCTAGATGGTGCCTAAGAACGGAGGAGAAGAGCATATCGAGTCCCTAGGTGGTTCTAGACCTGGACTCTAATACCAATACCATAATAGAATATGTGGAACCCTTTTGAATCTCTCTAAGAATCTTTATAGAGAGAGAAAGAGAGAGAACAAAGGTTGCTACATTGTATATAGGCGAAGAATCGTGCGATAACGAGAGTTAAGGTGACAAGCATAAAAAGAGAACTGGATCCTTGATTACCTTTAATTTCAAACCCGCTTATGAATCGTGTTTGATCTGATGCATCTCATCCTAATGTGCATCTAAGGGTAAAGATCTCATCTTACGTTTCTCAACTTAACTCTCCTTCTCATCGGAACCAAACCCTATTTTTTATATATATGTATATATATTAGTTTTAATGATCTAAGTCTAGCCGATGTGAAACTCTACAAGCTTTTGGCATGATGAGATGCAAGAGAAGTCAAAAAGGTCAAATCTTTGTGTTGTGATGACTTCTTTAACATGTATACAACATAATTACTATATTCTTTGTAGTTACAAGAATCTCTTCCTGATCAATTCTTTATACCTCAATACAATCTTCAAAAATCTATGGGTTTTTTTCAACGATCTTGACGATAAATACCATCATCAATATTCAAGGTATTTAGGTACGTATCTAACGCTATGTATCTAACGCTACGTATCTAACGCTACGTATCGATCCATTTTTGTGAAAAACATCCCTAAAGTTATTGGTAAATTGTGTATGTATTATTTGTTTGATAAGATAACTGATTATTGACAACTGGATACGTATTGTTTGTTTGGTAAGATAATACTGATAAATTTTATACATCAATCTGATAGAAACACTTATCGACAAGCTTTGAAATTAAATATAATATTTTTTATGTAATTACTTGATAATATAAATATAACATTTCAAAGCACACTAAATTATAATTCTAATTTATTTACTATTTAAATTTCAAAAATAACTTTATATGTTGATAAAATAAAATATACCGACATTATTTACTAATTATTAATTAACAAAACGTTAAGTTTTTAAAAAAAAATTATATTTTGGGGGGAAATAAAGCGAAGCTTTACAATGGTGGAAGCTTTGTAAACTTATGAACTTACAATTGCATATTAAGGTCGTTTTTTTAATTAAAAAAACATATTAATTTGCTGTTAATTATTTATTTTATTATGTAGTTTTAAAAATTAAACAATCGAATTCCTAGTATTTGATAAAGGTAATCTTATTTATTAAGCGTTTAGTTTTAATAATAATAATAATAATAATTAAGCAAGATTATTTTAATAATTATATTTTTTTTACTAAATAATATATATATATATATATATATATATATATATAAAGTTTAATCATTTGACAGTTTTGACTCTACAAGTCTAGATTCTTAATTTTATGTCAATATAGGTATAAACTTAACTTTTGATACAAAACTCGTGAGGTGCAAGTTGGTTAAGCATATGATACAAATATGTTATGCATAATCCTACCCAAAGTTCATTTAACCCAATTTGTACAAGTTAACGGATTTAACACTTATTTAAAGAAAATCAAAAATCATTAAGTTACGATGATTGAGTAAATAAAAAAATAATTAAGTAATGATTAAATAATAGACAGGTGTTCAAATACAATCAACTTTGACGATTTGATAAAATTTAACAGATATAATAACGTAGATTATTGTTACATTATATATATATATATATATATATATATATATATATATATAAGATGTTTCAAATGCAACTTATCACATTTGTATAATTAATGCAATCCAATCAATTGAGATATTTATTAAAATGATGAGAGTTCATTTATTATGATTTGAATATTTATGGAAAATAACTATGACTTATTAATTATGACCAATACTTTATGTTTTTAAACAATTCAAAATGAGAAAACTTATTGAGTTTTTTTAGACTTTTCCCTACTTGTAATCAAAAGTTGGAAACCTTTTTGATTGAGCTGAATTATTAAATTAGTTTTCTAAAACTTATTCTACAACATGAAACAGTACTTTAAAATAAAAGTTCTCATGATTATCATAATATATAGAGTTATTAAATGATTAAACCCCATAATTAATATATATTAATTACTTTTTATCTGTCCAATAAAATACCTCTGATTAAACAGATTTTTTAAACTTTTGTTAACCATAAGGACCAAAACTGAAAAATTATGCAAACCATAGGGACCTTTTTGCTATAAAAATTGTGTAGAGATACAATCCCAAAAAAACAACAAAACACAGACCAAAACTGCAATTTATTTATAATTATTATATCATTATCCTGTGAAAACATAGTATTACAAACACTTATCCGGTAAGCGTTTAACGGCAAAATTTAATAATATCACTTACGTAACGGGTAAAATTTTTTAGTCCACCAAAACGCATCGTATGCAACTATTTACTCGGTAAACGCTAAACGTGGTAAAAGTCGTCTTTATCACTTACCGGGTAAGACTCTCAGTCCCTGTCTTCGCTCTTACCGGGTAAGATTTTTGGTACTTGACATATTTATTCGTTAAGGTAATGTAACTTGATAAGCACTTACTTGAGTAAGAGTTTGGTAAACGGCCAATTTGCTATATAATTCAATAAATAATAATCATATAACGTAACTCATTTGTGTAAGGATTTTTATTTACGTAAACAATTCTTTTTCTGTTTTAATTTGAACGGGCTAAAATAGGAATTCAGTTTTAAAAGTGGTATTATAATCGGCTCGTTCTCTCAGAAGCCCAAAATTTTATTCCTGATTGAACCGGGAATGAAAATTTTATTCTCATTTTCATTCTCTGTCATTTTTATTTTCATTTTTATTTTTGTTCCTCGACATGAACCAGATAGTTAGTTGTAGAGATTGATTATTTCAGTCTAACTTATGAGATATAAATAAAAATTTATTTTTAAATTTTAATAATAATATAATGAAATTAATGGGGCATGGAAACATATTTTATTGTTGTGTAATTAAGGGGGTGTTTGGGATTGCTTATATGAAATAACTTATGTTTTTATGTAAAAGTGCTTATTAATTTATGTGGTATCAAACCAGAGTTTTATAAAAAGTGTTTGAATTAGCTTATAGCGGTACCAAAACGTAATAAGATGATAAGTTGTTTTTTAGTGTTTGACAAGTTTTGCTTATATATGTAAAACGATAAAAAAGAACAGTCTTCTATATTATTGACTTATGGAAGTGTTTAGGATTGTTTATTAACTTATTTGATTTTTTAACATGTAAAATCATTTATAATATTGTCTTTGACAAAAATTTATATCAATAAGATTAATAATTAACAAACATTAATAAAACAGGATTAAAATGGTAAACTGGTAATAAACAGTTTTTCATAAGTCAGGAAAGATTAACTTATCAAAAACTGCTTATTACCGGTTTGACACCGATATAAATAGTTTTATTTTTTCTCATTCAAACATTAGCATTTAGCTTATCATCGATGTCAAATAAAATAAATAAATAAAAAAACCTAAAATAAGTCATCCCAAACTCCCCTGTATATAAAGATATTCAAAGGATCCTCCTCGTAACAAACTCTATTCACTATTCTGCACGCAAACCAACAAGAAGCAACAATGGCGGAAGAAGGAAGAAGAAGTAGTGACAGCAAGTACACTCATGGCTTCTCGTCTTCTCAGATCCAATCATTAGCGGCCATTTCTGAAGCTTTTATCCCTCCCATTCCTGTACCTTCTAACCCTACCCCTAGCCCTAACCACAATCAATCTGCTGTTAATTTCTTCTACTCTGCTTCTGGATCTCAGCATCCTGTTCCTCAAGAGGTTTTGAATTTTTGCTCCTCCTTAATCTTTCTAATTCAGTTTTTTATCAATTTGTCGACGATTTCTACTGGTTTCTTCTTCATCGAAACTAAGAAATCGTAAATAACAACCATAACAGTGAATGAATTTTGACAAATTATGAACAGAAATCGTACTTAAAATTACTCGTTCTTCCAATTTTTACGAAATATAATCTCTTATGTTTCTATACGATTATGATTTATGATTATGAATGATCCAACATTTAATTAACTTAAATTACTAATTAAGTGTCTGACTTATACGATTTTTAAGAAATATCTTATAGTAATCATATGAATGACAATTGTTTTCGTGAAAATTGATCAAAATAGTCGATGTTATTAACCACAAGGGTGGTGTCTGATTGGTTTGAGCTTGACTCCAAAGGTTAAGACCACCAGGAAGTGTCAGGTTCAAATCCAAAGAGGAATAAAAATCCACGTGGTCACAAGTTCAAATATGAAGACTCCAGACTATCTGCAAAGCAGGTAGTCATCTTAAAATTAGTCGGCTCGCATAATAGAAAAACACACTCTTATTGGAGGGTTATATATCTAAAGCTTATCCAACTGCATTGGATGATGGATATCTAGGATGGAAAACATGTTATTCAAGAAACAGAAATTGGGATTATATGATATCAATATGTTTTTTTAAGACCTTAAGATTATCTTTTTATATTTGAAATTTCACAGTAAACTATTGTAAAATAATTTTTATATTATTTTTGTTGTGAAATTTCAACTGTTATTATGTGGTCTCACGAACTGGTTTTAAGTGAACCCAATCTTATATATATATATATATATATATATCAAAAATCAAATGAGAACCATAAAAAGTTTACAAA